TTTCAGTAACAAACGGAATTAAACCAAAAGTATTCAATGTTTCATTTTTAGAGACAAACCATTTGCTTAATTTAGCAAAATAATCGCAAGCCTGTTCAATAGCATCAACAATAATTGAAGAAGCTTCTCTTTTACCATCAGATTTCAACTTTGCCAAACTGGAAGAGTGCAACAGCATCTTGGCTATCTAAACATAGTTGAACATGTAACATCCAATGACATAGCAGGCGATGACAAAACAAAATCAAACTATCGTACCTTCTGCAAAACATTGGAGTGCCTCATTCGAAACGAAACATCCTCCCATGCACAAGGGATTTCACAAACAGGCTTGTGATTTCCCCATGGCATAGCATAGTACTTCTCAGCAAAGGCTGGCATAACCTTAACAATAAGTAACTTTTTATTACTCCAAAGTCCTCTAATGTGCTATTTTAATGTCAGAGTTTCATTTAACATTAAAATATCCATAAAAAGTTCTAAAATCTTCGATATGACACAGTAATATAGACATAGATATAGAAATATAAATAATAGAAAAAAGTTACCGAAAGTGTTCGTGCCGTACATTTTGGTACCTTTCCGTAAGCTCGATTGCCGTATTCTCCTATACTCAACGAAAAACGCACATTTTTGGATCTGTTGAGGCAAAAGTCAGAAATTTCTCATCAAATGACAAATTCATATTGGAAAAATTAAGTAAAAAAATTCATCGAGAAACTTACTTAAGTTTAGGATGAATCATATTTACAGCAAAAAATGTAGACAATAATACATATTCTGATGTACGTAGTTGTGGTTTTAACGATAACACAACATCAGGAGTTATCAAATCACGACAAATTTGGCCACAGTTTTCCTCCAAACATATCACTTCAATAAGCGCACGAGCAACAAAACTGCAATTTGATATTTTATTTTTTGTCCCAAGCAAATAGGAAATTTGTTAACAAGAACGAATTAATTAATACCAGTCGCCTGGTCGTCTTCCTTCTCGTATTGCTTTCTCTACTTTTCTCGATATTTCTTGTTCAGTTGAAGCATAAAAGCTTATATACGATGGACCAAATACTGGCAAAAAACTATAAAAGGTGGCACGATAAAGAAATTACCATTTAGCTTATTCCTGGTTATTATTTTTGGTACTTAGTCTTGAATATAAAAATGAACCCTTGATTATCAGAGGTAGATTGACCGTTTGCTATTGCATTCACATATCCCGATTGACAGATATCAGATAAATTTAAGTGGGCAGTAGCCAGTATTTTCTCCGCATTCTTTTTGCGAATTTTTGTCTGATAAACGAGAATAATACGAAATGATATCTAAAATAAATTTTTTGTTGTGACTCAAGCAAAATTTGCAAAATAGTTTGTGACATGTTTGCACTTTCTCACTTTTCAAGGACTTATTCCATAACAAAAGTAATATTTCACTCTTATTTTTTCCTTCAGGTGTTTAATTTGAAAAAATGACTAACGAACATATTTAACAACGGTTGGCCAAACCACGGGAAGCATGATTTCCTCGTTAAAATCAACCACTTCATAAAGAGCTGGCAAAACGTGTGTCATTTCACGTTCTTTTCCAATCTAAAAAATTTAATTCATAATTTTTTTTTTTTAAATCAAAAATATACACTTTATTTTTGAAAGGTAACTCTGTACACCTGTACTTGGACAGCGAGCTTCGCAACATCATTGTTGTGTATTCGCAAATGATCAGCTATTTGGCACAATTGAAAAATTCTTACCTGGAAATGAATAACTGTAACGTTCGACTCATTGAGCTTAAATTTAATTATAAATGCACTATTTAATGTCTGAAACATTTTTGTCTTATTAAGTCACATTCTTTCCTACGTTTCTATAATTTTCAACTACATAATTACCAGCATGGTATACTGCATTAATGAACCGGAGAACAAAATGTCCTCGTCGTCATGTGTCACCATACTGCGTAACGATGGTGCCGGTGTTGGATCAAGGCTTCGACGTACATTCATCGATACCTTTTAAACACATAATGAATGAATTTTAATGTCGAGCAAATTAAAGAAAATATTAAAAGTTATGTAGGAATTTAACAGAGATTATGACATTTATTGTTCAGTAGGTCTTTAATCTTTTTAAAAAGAGAAGAATTGAATTAAATGTTGGCCAGAAAACTCCATGGCACTTTACAATATTTTTTGCATGGATTTCCAAAAATTAATACTTCAAATTGAAATTTAGAACCTTCAGAAAGCCACGTATATCGGAAGAAGCAATTTGATCAGTTTCTCCAGTTGCTTCAATCTCTTGATAGTCAGCTCTTAAAACAAGCCATTTTTCTTGAAGCAAGTGTCGTTCTGATTTGTAAATGTATCCTAGCTCGCATTTAAATCCTCCGATCAATGTATCACTTGCAAGTTGTCGAGCATTGTAAACCTATCCCAAAATTTTGCATTAATAGTTTTATAGATTTAATTAGAGTAACCATAGAGGTAAAACGTATGGATATATGTTTTTTAATTGTTTTATCATCAGTATGAAAGAGATACTTTCATATATTCTGAAAAATTCTTTCAAATTCCCGAAAAGGGAATGCGACATGTAAATGGTCGATCATAATGAACTTCTCCTTTTGTTTGGCTTTAGGATAAGGCATATAATACGTCACAAACGGTTTTTCTTTATCAGATCTTGAAATACAGGAAACTTTACAAAAGAGCTGATACAAACTCTGAATTCCAAACATGTTCGCATCATATCTTGGAGAGACTTTTGGACCGTGAAAGAGAGAGAGTCATTCCAACGTGGTGAATTTGTACTATGCTGTGATAGACTAGAACGACAACGACCATCTAAGATCACGCGGAGCAAAGGATTTAAATTATTTCCATAAAGTTCACGGGCTTCAAATATATATAGTCGTACCTGAAATAAAATTTGTCTTTTTTCAGTCGTTGAAGTTTAAGATTCTTGAAAGTTCAGTCAATTCTAAAAAAAGTAACGATTAATTCAATAAAGGTTTGAAGCTTACAGTGAAAGACTGCAACACATCAAGATCTTCCGTCTCATCTTCCATCTCAGTCATTTGTTGAACAACAGCAACTCTTCGTTTCTTACGCAATGCAATAGTGTGACGCGAATTATCCGTTGAACTGGTTGTTTCGGATACCTTATAAGATCATGAAAAGCATATAGAGATACACGTACTGCAACTTCAATGCTGGTTTTCACTTTTCTGATTTTTTTTAATCTAGCTTTTAGTAAGTTTATAATTTTTGAATCATCTTTACAAATATGTCTGGCGCTTGCTTGAAAGGCCAAAAAATAATAATAATAAAGCCGACTTTACGTATGAAGTTAGAGACTTGTATAGCATGTAAGCACATATAAAGACTGACCAGCTCTTGATCCGACGAAACTGCTTCCGTGGTTTGCATCGGTGTTTCGGTGAATTCACTTTCAGCTAGCTCAGTTTTAATGTCCTTCGATTTGCTGTTTTCATTATATTCCGTTGATTGTGATGATGATGATATTGACCGATCACGTGAAATACGTGACTTTATATGTCGACTAACTTCCCGAAGTTTTGATAATATTCGTCCACGGCCTCCTTTTTTCTTTATTTTTTCCACACCTTTTAAGTTTGCAGCTTCATCGTAATCACCTTCTTCGCTACTCATGTTTCGTTCTTCACACAACTACATATTAGTATTAATCATTTATTGATAGTTTTAAAGGTTAGCATGAAACATTTCTAAGATATAAAAATGTTACGACGTCATTCAGTTGAAGAAAGGATAAATGGTACGAAGCAGACAGATAGGAACTGAGAAATTGTAGGCAAGTGTTAAGCAAATGAAGAAGATATTACTAGATAGGCAGTTAAAGTTACTTTCCAAAGTTCATTTTCTTCTAGCAGATTCCTTTTCAGCTTCTTCATTTGCTTATTTAGAAATCATTCCGTCATCGTATTATTTCGTTTCTTGGACCCTCATAAAATCAACATTTTCCAGCACTAATAAAGCTTAAATTTTAATTTTGGCCTTAATAAAAATTTATTTGCAAGTTGCTATTAGGTATAACAAAGATAGAAAAGTTACATTTCTTCAAATTAGCGTGTGAATGAAGCAGACTGAACTTTCATGAAATGAAAATAGGCTTACAAATAAAGAAATTGATTTTTAAAAACTTTTGAAAATAAAATATCAAAGCACAGTAGTTGATAATAAGGCTGGTATATTACAATTATTCATTGATGATAGGTAAAGAAGCCATTTATATAAAACTAATCTAAAATATTAAAAAAATAACAATCAAAATGGACTAGTCGTAGAATCGTTTGACAATAAAACGTCTTAATGACTAGACTTGCGGACACGAAAGATTTAGAATAAATCGAACTGAAAGAGGAAACGACCAAATGATGGTTTAGGTTTAAAAAAAATTCTACTTTCAAAAAATTTCCATATTATAAATCGAACTGAAAGAGGAAACGACCAAATGATGGTTTAGGTTTAAAAAAAATTCTACTTTCAAAAAATTTCCATATTCAAATTTCCAGAAATTCATTGATTTTCATGATGGAATTGTTATCAGTTCAAACTGAGAAGAAATTTTCATAATTTTTTAGCATTCTTTCCACCTTTTACAGCCAAAATAACAATTTTTAACAATTTACAATTTTTCGGATAAAAATTACGAAAATTTTTATTTTTTTCATTGATTTTATTTATTTAGAGATACATGATTCTAAACTGCAATGGATCATCCTTAATGAGAGATTTCAATGACAAATTGAAAAAAGAAGTTTTCATTTAAATTTTGTTTGTTTTGAAAATTTAGGAGGGATATTAAATGAAGCATTACTATCACTTCAGTGATTGTTCATAATATTGTTTTTAAAAGACTGTATTGCATGTGAGGCGGAAAATTCCAAAAATACATATTACGCTGGATTTTACATATTGCAGTATTATTAGCATTGGTCTTAGATGTAAGCAAGAAGGATTAAAGAATGCCGAGCGCAAATTGCATTATTGCAAGAGTATGCAGAACTGCTGCATCAGCTGGATTATACGAACTGCAGACTGTTGGCACATTTACAGCAGTAATGGGTAATAAAAGAGACTGGGGTCTCAGTGGTATCGGATATACTAAGCCATTAGATGAAACTGCATCTGATTTTTTAGATTCATCGAAGGTTGCCAGCGATATATTCGTTTCAGCCGAAAGTTCGGATCTCGCTGTCAACAGCTGAATATTAATCAGTGATTAATCAGACGTATTTCCATTTAGGAACAGTTTGTAAATCTTTGAAACTACAACAATTTTATGCATATTCAATAAGTCTTTGGTTAAAATTGACTAAATCCGGAAGGCTTTATCGGATTAAGGTTCATATAATTACTTTAAAATTGAAAAGTCCACTTTGAAAAAAATCAATTTGAAATTGAAAGAAAAAATCAATTGAAAAAGTTTTCCTACATAATAGCTCTCATCAATATTTTGAACAAACAAATTACTTCATTGAGAATAATTATTAACTTTTACTAAATAATTAGCTCACCGTATAAGATGACAAGTCCATCTCAGGAATGGGAATAGGTATTTCAGCGAAATCTTGGTCATAAATTTGTTTTACCAACTTCTTGTCCAGATTAGTAAATATCGATAGCATATTTGAATTAGTGAATGAATTCACTGATATTGGCACATCTACGAATCCCAAATGAATGAATGATTAGTCTCTCTCTCTCCCTCTCCCTTTCCCTCTCTCTCTCGTTATATATATATATAAATAATCGAAAAGATTCCAAGCTGCATATATTACTAAAAGAATTTTGTTTTTTCTAACTAAGCACCAATTGAGCACCATGTAATTGCACAGTAAATCAGACTAACTCCTTTCGATGATATCAGATTAATCTTCACAATATTTTAAAACAATTGTGAAATTGAATGAACAAAGTGTTGCTTACGAGTTTTTCGTTCTTTTTTGTGTTCGTTAGATCTAAGTTTTGAGGCTTTCAAAATTTGATCTAATTTTCGCCTCTTTTCGATCAATTCACATTGATCACACGCACAATTAGCATATAAACAATGTCTCTTGTGTTCCTAAATTCATCTTTTATTCAGCATATTCATTGTCTCTACAAGAATTTAAAAAATGGTCATTCGAAACACAATTTCAAGTTCAATTTATTCAGAAATTTATCTGGAAACCTATAAAATCTAAAAAGTTTTGCAAATCATTAAATAACATACTTTTTTCCAAACCAAAACACCATGATTTTTGCATTTTTGACAAATGTAGCATTGATTTTGGGTTGCGGTACTTGTTTTAGTTACTTTTCTAAAGTGGTATATCTGAAATATCTTAAGAATAGACTAAAATTAATAAGTGATATAGTCGAAGATTTTTTCTTTGTTATCATAATTCGTTTTATCTGAATAGAAAATCTTTATTTCCAAATACTGATAAAATCACTTTCATAACTTGGAAAAGAACGGTCAATCAAAAATCTAATTGCCCAAAAAAAGGAATTTAAAGGCGAAGATCATTTACTTTAAAACATTGAAATTCAATTTTTAATTTTTCAAACTCGTATAGAATCAGTTGTTTGCACTACTGATTCACTACGCAAATAAACTTACTGCCGGATCATTTTCATTAAAATAATTTTGCGGAGTAATAGTTGCTTGAGTTAGTTGCGAAGTACGCTGAAATATTTTATCTTGCGCACGGCGTATACGGATCTGCGTGCTCATAATTTGTCGACGTTGACGTATCAGTAAGCACTGCAACACGTAGATGAATAGTTGTTTTTATGTTGATATAAATCATAAATTGCCTAGATTTCATGCTGAGTAAAATTAATTCTTTATTTTCAGCTTATATAAAAGTGTTTTTATTTTTTATTTATTTACAAAAGAAAAAAGGAGTTAAGCCGTAGTGAATTCGAGAGTAATTTTTAAAAGTCCAACTGATCCCGGCTACTCAAAGTCGGTTATCGCGTTTTTATGTCTTACTTTTGAGCAGTTACAGTTCTTCCGATTGCAGTGATGGCCACGTGTTTCCACTAGCATTCCGTGCTGTCGACAAATTCCGCAATGGCGTTTCACATCTAAATCGTTTTCCTTTTTATTTTACATCATTATTTTCTGGGATGTGTCCACTCGAAGTTATAACTTAACTTTCACTTTCAAAAATATATAAACAACTTAAAAGTTCTGAAATGGTTATTATACGAACTGTCGGAAATTCTATTAAAATTACACTAACCTTTGGGCATTTTTTTACTTATGGCAAAATATCGCTTACAGTTCTCTTCTTTAGACATTTCCTATAAACTGGACATACATTGAAAACCAAAAACTAGTTTATTGTTTTAGTTGTAGTGGCTAACATTAAAAATAAACCATTTCCTTTGATTCTAATTAGAATCAAAGGTAAACGGATTGAAAGAGGAAAAAAAGAAACACACAGCAAAACAATTTCAATTCGCAACGTAATAATGCAAGAAAACTCCCAAAAGATTTGTGTCCAAATAAACTCAATCAAAATTATGCCTTAATTAGTTAAATTTAAAAAATAATAATGTCACTCCAAAATACAGCACAAAGAAAGTACGTTGAAATGCTGTTGGATAAAAGTTTAAACAGCGAATTTTCTCGTTTGTCTCTTTGTATATTTAATTTCCAACCAAAAAGGTCTGCTTGCCTATTCATATTACAATTGAGCTAAAGCATCGCTGTTTCTTGGTGGTCCTAAACTTTAAGGCGCATTTTATTTGATGCTCTTTTGATTCAAATTTTTCAATCTCTTCTATTTACTTCTTACAGTATGCCTTCCGTACTAGCAATACATTTTCCATTCCTGTCAATCAGTTTTCGAAATGTTTTTTTGTTGGATCAAAGCTAGTCTAAAATGGCTTTTCAACAGTGGAAAGATCACAGTAGAAGACAATAAGTTAAGGTCATTTCTATTAAACATATTTTAAATGCATTCTAACTTCTTTGCAAAATTGAATCGTATGTCAATAAATGTGAACAAAATGCTAATTAAATTCTAACAAAGTCATTAAATTTCATTACAATTCAATAAGCAGAGAAAAATGCATAATGGCGCGTAATAAGTTGCAAAAACTTGAATGTGAAGAGGACAACAGATCCTATTGGCATTTCAAAAAATGTATTTGATTGTTTTGAAGTATAAAATAATTATTCGAGCAATATCGTATGCAATTCTTGAATATTAATGTTAACTAGAGATTCAAATTATTCATTAATAAGCGAGATAAAAAATGAAAAAGTTGAAAGAAGTGAATATGAAGCAAAGTTAGGAGAAGTACTCGCTAAAAGCTTTTTTGTCAAAAGGTACAACAATCTTTTATATGGAAGAGATTTTGTAAACAATGAATTTCGTGCCCACTGATAAACAGAAAGCACTGATCACATTACTTACTAAGTTTCTTAAAAAATTTCTTTTGTTTTACTCGTGATAACAAAACATATGGAAAAGACAATGAGACGAAGCTGCTGTCAACAGTGACAACAATTCATCCTTGAATACTAACTTAGTTACACTACAGCAGAAAGAACGCTGCATTTCCTTCAATATAGAGTACTCATAGCATAAAAACAGAACGAATACCAAATATATCACAGCAGAACAATCATATTTATAGATTAATTTTTTTTTTTTAATTAATTTTTTTCATTAATTTAGTTTCTCTAAATCATTCACCAAAAGTTCTTAGTGGTGATCAAAGTTAGAATATGATTCAAGATCTTATTAGTTTCAATTTTAAAAATTCAAAATTCATAACATTATGAGAAACATTATAATTAACAGAAAAAATGCACTGATAATTTTAGTAATCATATGTATTCATTTCAATAGATGTGTTGAAATATTCCCTAATTAACGAGTGAATAATTCTTTGGCTTTAGTACTTAATTGATTAATTAATTGATTAGAGTCTTCTATTATTTGCAATTGGACATCTAATGATGACCTCGTAGCAGGAGCATCAGTTTGTTAAAACGACCTAAATTTGCTATCAGATCAATACAAGCTCTAATCATTACCATTTCTAATGGGGACGATCAGTTGCAGTTTCATCATCACAGTTGTTCTTGAAATTGTCATCCACTGTTCATGTATTTTTTTAATTCTATGATATATGACTAATTTCACCTATCTCATTTCAAATTTAGTCATCAATCTCGGATATTCCAAGTTACATTTAACAAAAGATTTTTAAATTATGTTCCAATTAATTCAACATGAGCCAACTTTTAAGTAGTGTCAAAATTCGATAAGTTTTAATTGCTAAAATAAGAGGTTGACTCTTTTTAAATTTTGTAAAGAATTCTTTCGTTTTAGTATTTTCGGTTTCTGGAAAAAATCCCGCATAATATCTCATATATTTGCAGTAAAAATTTCAGACAATATTTAAATTTTCTTTCGACATAATGAATTAAAAATTTATTATGCAGATGTGGAGACGAATGAAGAGGAAGGAAGCAGATGCCTTAAAGAATGTTTGAAATCGATTCTGAAATTTGAACGTTCCTTTACTTTTCAATTTGAAAATTTTGAAAAAGTTAGCTTTGCAAACAAATGATTTTTTGTCAAATATAAACGATAGACTGATTGGAAATTTAAATTAAATGAAATTTGAATTATAATGCAAGTTTAGATAGAATTTTTTTATTTAATAAAAATTTTATTGTAAGCTTTTCTAAGTACTAAAAGTTTTGAAGTTTATTCTATTATAAAGTTAGTTAATTTTGGGTATTCTGTTTTTAGTGGTTTCTAGATATGTGAAAAACTTGAATCGGCGGCATTGTGTAACCAAAAATGCAGTCCACCTAATCAATACCGTTTTTATCATTATACAACTTTTTATCGTCTGCACTGCATTGATTTTTATGAAGGTTATTTCAATTCAAAATCAAATCAGAATTGCTATCATTACTTGCAGTTCTTATTTTGCTGAAGTAAAAGAAGTTCCTCTCAATTCTTTTCAGAAAGTTTGAAATCATAATTTATGTGATTGTTTTTCAGTGTTAATTGATTTTCGAAAGAATTTCTAGAAACAGCTCTTCCATTTTCACTATTTTCAATTTAAGCATTTTACTATAATAAGAACAATCATGAATTATTTAAATGAAGTCATTATCATGCCAAAATTATTAAAACATGTTGATTAGAGTACGTATAACATACTGAAAAGTTTGTTAAAATTATTTTCAATTTCTCTTTGTTACAGAGCTTGAAAACCAGCTTAATTGTCTGAAAAAAGCATCACCAGATGTGGACAAAAGTAAGTTTGTAATTTTCGGTTTGATTAATTTTTGGTATTAAGATAATTTTTCTTCATGAATAGTTTGGGTCAAGAAATTTTCAAGATATTGGTTTTTATTCAACTTGTTTCCATAATTGTTTAGCAAGAGAAAGTGGAAAAATATAAAATTTCGGACCATGGGAATTTGAAAGAGAAATAATTTTAAATGTTTTGGTTGAAAAAGATATTTATTTTAAATTTTAAATTTCACGACTGCATCCTTCTCTGCCAGCACTGTTTCAGAATAATTGTAAAAGACAAAAATTTGATTCACTATGCCGTTTTTGTTATACATTATCACTTCAGTTTGCAATGAACGATGTACATTTAACAACGACAAACCCAGCAATAATGGAAATCAAATCAAAATTCACTGCAAGTTGGAAACTGATGTTTTTATATTTATCGATTTAATTTCTGACTTGCAAGCAATTTATCCCTTTCGAACATTCAATCTCGCAAGCTCTTTAATTCTCATTTATAGTACTTTTCAATGCACTGTTGCCACAAACAAAGATCTGAACTTTTTTTAAAAGCTTTTCATCAAATCGCTCCTATAATGAATCAATGAAACTGGTTAACCAGACCGGAAGACCGGATAGCTATTAAATGTATCGATACATCCATCACAATAATAATAAGGAAGCTGTCAAATGATTATCTTCTCAGGGTATTGCTCAGGAATTTAATATGCCCTAATACTAATCAAATATTATCTCTAAGATAATATTTGATTAGTATAGAATGGATGGTAATAAGAATTAAATCAATAGTAATGATAAAATAGACAAAGGAAAGAATAATATCTTCCCTCGCTTAATCGAGAACAAATTTTATGGAATACCTCAAAAATAGAGCCAGTATACAGCATATTTCTCGAGCATGAGAAGCAGGAGAGTTTATATGGCTTTATGTCTTTGGTGAAATTCGGTAATCTTAGTAAATTAACCAATTAAATAGTCAGTCAAATAATAACATAATAGAAAAGATAAAGTTCATTGATACAAAAATAAAGGTCCAAAAGTTGATAATGTTCCACTTTTTCAGAACTTTGGAGTGTTCTCTGATTTGTTATTATAAGGCATTTACCAGTGCCTGTCCTGAAACGAGTAACACCCTTCTGGTGAGCACTTTTAATTTTATATTTATTTACTCATTTATTCAAGAAACCAATGTCTTCTAAAAGTTTACAACGTTTGAAAGTTTTAAAAAATAATTAGGTTTCAGAAAATTGAACTTTAAAAAAAGAATTTGATTGAGTTTCAAAACATGAATTCAGCGTTTGAGTACACGGCAAATTCATGATATGCGATTATTCACACGATCGGACAGTCCATTAAAAATGGAAACTGAATGTCGCCAACTACATGATGAAAATAAGATGAAGCAAAAAATGCTCGAGGCATGGACATGACAGCGATGAAATATGTTTAAAAGTACTGCTAAAAAAGTGGAAATAACTAATTACTCTATTTTTTAAAACTAGTAATGAAAAAGTACCTAGCATAAAACACCGTCTTTATTCAGTTTCAATGGCCTTAAATGGCTTTTAACAACTAAGGAAAGCCTTTTAGTTAAAATAAAGGATGCTATCTTTCTTTCGTTGATTTCGTTTCAAATATTCACTTTCAAAATTATGACGCTCTGTTGAATCCATTCACAGATCGATCCCCGAAAACTGATATTTGAAAAGATGTTTTCATTAACAACTGAATTTTTCTCTTATAGTGAAAACCCATTTGCTTTTTTTCCACTCAGTTGTTATCTAATTTTTATTTTTGCACAGTATGTATTACTTTTATTATACATTTGTCGATTTAAATAAAGCTAATTACTTTTCAACCAATTCATTTGAAAAATCTAAAAATCCATATAAAATGTCTGGAATGAATATTCCAAATTTATGGCTTTTTTGCTTAGCCATACAGGTTAAACAAATTAATCACTGCACAAATCGACTGTAGTATCCGGTAGATCGTGGCGGACAGGGGCAATAAGCGGCGTCATTTCCAGAAAGACCTTTTCTACCAGGTGCTCCCGGAAGTCCGTTCATTCCCGGCCGACCTGGCATACCAATAGGTCCTGGTGGTCCTACTGGCCCTGGTATTCCATCATTTCCTCGCTGTCCATCCGATCCAGGTTCCCCTTGAGACCCTGGTAAGCCTGATATTCCTTCTGGTCCTGCTTTTCCTCTTCCACGCAATCCGTCTTGGCCTGGTGGACCGCGCGGACCAACAACACCAGGCGATCCTGGTAAACCAGCATCACCGCATGGCCCTGGTAGTCCTGGTAGTCCAGCAAGACCCGGATGTCCTGGCTGTCCTGGAATTCCAGCTGGACCTTCGGAACCTCTTGGTCCATTTGATCCGGGTAAACCAAGGGGGCCAGCCGGACATTTGACGCAAGGCACATCTTGTGGCGGACAAGTTACTGATGGGTAGATTACCGTATTGTCTTCTCCGGGTAATCCAGGTAAACCCGGCTCTGAAAAAGTGATTGCTGAATCTGACGTGAAATTTCTCTTTCTTTCTATATGATAAATTCAGATACAGGAACAATAACGGAACAAGAACAATAACGGAACAATAACGAAAAAACATACGTCCTTTCTGGCCGAATGGACCAGGAGGTCCCGGTAGTCCGGGAGGACAAACTGCTTTCGGTAATTCACATATGCAATAGGATGGCAAGTTGGAGAACATATGACGTCTTTGTCGAAATATACTACTGAATGGATTATCGCGTTGTTGGCTAGGCGGACTAAGAATGATTTGGATATTCATTATTTCCGACCAGGCTGAATCGATTTCGGCGCGGAACATCTATATATATTAAAAGAATTATCAAAATTTTCTGTAGTAGAAAGAGTTCTTTCAGAATTTCATCTAAAGTTCTTAGTTAAAAACTTACAAATAACTCATATCATAATGTCCACACTTTTATTTGTTTCATTCTATAGAACGATACATGAAAAAGTAGCATTCTAAGAAAAAAGTTCGCGATAAGAATATTACACTGCGAAATAATTAAAACATCAAATGTCTGTTTGTTCCACAACTCAGTCTTAATGATTTTATAAAATCGGGACTGAGTGGTTTTGGAAGCAAATTTCTGGTTCTCACGAAAAGCATTACTTGTAAAACTATTGATTCCATTAACTATTATGAATGCGTATTTTTTTTTAATACGTAGCCAATGCTAGTACGCAATGTTGAGAACAATAATAAAACACTTTCTCTATTTCTCTTTTTTTGAAAGTGTCTTTTGTTCTTTTTATTCAACCTAACACAATATTTTATTACCTCGTGATTCTGTTTCTTCTTTTAAATAAATTTTTACTTCTTAAATATTCTGCATCCTACACAAAATGTCTCAGAAACTTTATACAGATTATCAGTATTATTACTATTTGCAGTAAGTTTTACAATTGAAAAAGTGCTTTCAGGTCCTACTTGCATTCAGAACGTCAGTTGTTCCAGTGCAGATTACTCAATCGATTTTCAGAACAAAATGATGTCAATTTCTCGTATTTATTCTCTTAACTTAAATAAGAATTTTCCATTTTTACATATAATAAATAGATCAATACATTCGTTCTTGTAGGTAAAATATGTAAAACAAATTGTAAATTATCTTGAAAGTGATTAAAAATTGTGTTGTTCTCATCAAAGCAGAAATTTGAATTACTTTTATCACTGATTCTAAAAAAAGTTACTAAGTGTCAAGGAAGTCTAACTATTAAACTAAATATTCCTATCAGCACTATGAATAAAAAAGAAAAAATCAGTGTAATTTCAATTATCCGAGTAAATTTACATTCCCAAAAAGATGAATTAAATCTCCTGCATAAGAATGGTTCGGAATTGTGATCAATGGTGACAATGGTGTCCCAACAAACTTCTCTTTTTTGTTTTTATGACTTTCACTAATTTTTTTAAAACTTTTTGAAATTCGAAACATTTATTTTTGAGATAACTGTAAGTATTAAAAAAGTGCTGGTTGGAAAATAATAAAACAGGGAATTTTACGAGAGATTTCAAAGAGCTGGAGAAGTATAAACTTTGAGGTGCAATTTATGAGATATTAAATAGAAATGGAAACTTAATTATAAAAATTACAAAAAAGGGATAAAAAAGCAAAGATTAATGAAAACAGTAGCAAAGTACCATAATATATTCTTTGATATAAGAAGTAGATAATAATTAAAAAATGCAGTTAGCATTTGCTAACATTTTTTAAGACAATCAAATTTTCACTGGACAAAGAATAGCTACGAAGCAATTCATTCAGTATTAAAACCTCAAAAACACTTTTGATTATCATCAGTTGTCTCCACTTTGATTCATTCATTACTCATTTAATTACAATCAATTTTGTAAATCAGGGAGCATAGTTAAATCAGGAAACAACAACCGTAATGAAGAAGTAATCCCTCTACTCTTATCCCTCTTGGCATAAAAGTAAAGGGATTACTTTTTTCTCGAAGTTACTTTCAAAGTTCTAAATTTAGAGTTCAGCATGTAGCAGAAACAGCTTATTCATCCAATCAGATTGGAGTGATTAAAATAAAAGGCAAAACACTTTCAAATTCTAAGATTCATAGTTCAGCTTCAGTTACCTTTTCTCAGGTATTCAAAGAAGCACAATTAAATACCTGTATCTCGTCTAACACTTCATCGCCAGTTTCTTTTATTATCATGTATGCGGAACTGATCACAACCAAACACGCAGTGATTGCAAATGCGCTACAGCCAGATGCTGCAAATAACACAATTTTTGCTTCGTGCATTTTATAAAATAGGAATGCAGAATAATTGAGAATATTGCGGTCATATTTATACATTCATTTATTTCATTCTCAAAACGGGCCGGGTTTTATCCGCAACGTCAATCCCGATAACTGCAATATAACAAAGAAAGCCTTCCGTTATAAAGATAATAATCTCTACAACCGGGATTTTAATTCGATAGAACGGACCATAGAACCGGTTTCACGTTTCTGAATAGTGAAAGAATCTGCGGCGTAGATATCACACTGCTTTCCCTCTTCTATTCTCTAATCGAAATAGAGATTCCATTACCTTAGTGAACCAACTTCTTGCACTTCACCAACATCGAGTGTCTAAAATTTGAAAAGTGCTCAGACTGGTTAACAGGTACGCATCCTTAGTCCTTGTAAAGCTCAGAAAAGCGAACTATTCCACACACTATCCTGTTTCTTTTTTCCTCTGGTTAGTTATTCTATCCTGAAACCGATAAAAAGAGAATTTCATCGCCTCTTGAATGCTTTTTTAGAAGAAAATTTATCATCTACTAACCTCGTCCATAGTCTACCAATTTCGTCCATAAAAATTTTCGACATATTGCATATTTACATAAAAACCGAACTTAATTCTTTCAAAAAATTATTTTTAATTAATTACAATCCTCACTACTGCAACATGATACGAGGGCATGGATAATGTAAAGAAATAATTGCCAGATTAAGTTACTGTAATCAAAACCAAACATCTTCACAACTAACTGAAATATAAATTTGCTATTCCTAAAACTGCTTGATAATTTTCCATCATTTCTACACTTCTCGTACTTTTACACTTTTAAAAATTACAAACGCTGTCAATATTTTCTGAAAACCATATTATTTTAAAAACGTCAAAAGCTTTAAGCAATCATCAACAGTGATAACTTCTATTCTTTTAACAATAATGAATTTTTCAAGCAATGAGATACTCAATATCAGAAAATGACATTGCTTTTTGCAAATATTTGATCTATTATGAATTCATACCGAAGTCGATTAAATTTAAATTTTAGCAACAAGTGTCATCACATTCTTTAGCATATTAGCCTGATATGCATTTTACAGATGACGCAGTCAGCGATCTTCATGTAAACACCGTTCGTGAAACTTGGAGTTGGCTGTTACTTATACCTTAGACTTTCCTTGATCAACAGTCTTCCTTGTTTGTTATCATAGTTGGTATAGACGAATGTGTTAAGTGAAAGGTCTATTATAATGATTTTATTGGCTAGTAACCACAATACGTACATAGCTATTAATCTATAGCAACAATACACTGATAATTTCGTAGGGTACCTATTAATGAGATGAAGAAAATGAATGAATTGATGGGGAAGTTAAGGAATTTAAATGAATTGAATTAAATGAGTGCGGGAGAACAGCTGAATTATAACGTTCTGCTAGAAAATTCATGAAGACAAAGAATTTAAATCTTTAAATCCTTATATGGTAAACATTGACTTGTAAAAGGCGCATGGTTACATTGAGTAAAGAGCTATAAGATGATCTTTAATCTTTATATAGTAAGAGATGATTTAATATTGTCAATTCCTCCACGATTGACTATTACGTTAGAAAACCTTTGCAATATTTGGACACTGTAAACAAATTTGGTTTGCAACAAAGGAGTAAATTTTAAGATATTAAAGAATGCACATGCGTGCCCTTTGTTAATAGTAAAAAATTTCTAGATAAGCAGTAGATAAACTCAACTACGGTGGAAGATGAGTGTTGGGATAATGATTGCTTACGTGAGATGCAATTTGAAACAGTTTTATATTTCTTTAGAAAAAGTTCAATTAAGATAAACTTTAGTATTATGGATTGATGCAATTTTATTTGATATGTTTTTGTAAGTTATTTAGAAGGTTCGCGAAATTATTTCAAGTTTCGCGACAACGATAATGTGGTGATGTAGAATCTTACGAAGAGACGAGTACTGCACAGGAGATTACTTGCATAATTATGTTCATAAGGATCTAAATAAGTAACATACATTTAATAGAGAGGAAAGAATAGAGTGACAAGATTGTTTTGGAGCCATGCCCTAATCTAGTCAAGAAAATCTCGAGAGTTTCATTATTCCTGGCGGCTATCATTGGACTATCCGAAAGTAGGACTCTAGTCCCATAATTAGTTTCAATAAAATTATGGTAGTTGATGGTTATTCGTTATGTCGTAATAGTGTGATAACAGTTTGATCTGCATTGTCTTTATACGAATCTTTCAACAGTTTGGCAGCCATTGTAAGGGCTCCTTGTTTACTTATTTTACCACAACATAAAACCCTGCAAGTTATTTAAAATTTACTGCATACTTTCTTGTATTCTTAAATGGCTCGAACCTTGAATCCCACAACATTGTACAGTGCTATGCCCTAAATTGTAACTGTAACAATGTAAGTAATGAAGCACTTATCTTTCCAAGTTTTTGTAATCCTTAGTCCAATTTCCCGATAACCCAATGAGAGGTGTTATCAAATTTCATATGTTTTGGATCTTCTTACAACAGAAACGTTTGGAAAAAGTTTCGATTCTTTCATCCACAAATATCGGAACATTTAATGTTTTAAATGATTCCTTTTAAAGATAAATATGATCTGAGGGATAATGAGAGAAAACGAAGATAATAGGTCGGTTAATCACACAAAAAGTTACCAATTTGTTTACAAAAGTATGAGAAACATATACATATATGCGGTATATCACTGCAAAACATATTTCGACAGATAGCGAAAGGAATGAAAGGTAAAATATCGAAAATACTACTAAAACTATCAGTTTTTAACAAATTTAGTAGTAGACCAACAAATTCTACATCCCACAGAAAAATAAAGGAAATTTAAGTTTTGATTCGAGATGTCAAAATGTATGGAATGAAACTATCAAACACTAAGAGGCATGCTGAAATACATGTTTGGTTGTTGACTTTAAAATGAAGACGCTATTTCCTGGAAAATTGTGCATGTTTCTGTTGAAAGACAACGTGTGCAACACACACACACACACACACACACACACACACACACACACACACACACACACACACACACACACACACACACACACACACACACACACACACACACACACACACACACACACACACACACACACACACACACACACACACACACAATATCAAAGCATATAAGTGTTCCAGCTTCACTGCATCCACTTTCCCTTGCTTCCGAACATAAGTGCTACTCTTCCCAGCGCCGTCTTACGCACGTGAAAGTTACCGCGTGAACTTCTGATTCATTTCTGTTAGAGGGAAGCATAGCGGATTCAACCCAAATTTCTCTCCTCGCCTCCTACTCTCATCACTAGATAAAGTCACTACCCATCCCTGTGTCTCCTAAAACACATACTCTCTCTCTCTGACTGACTTGTCCTAACTCATCCAGTAATGCAAAGATATCAAACTCTGAATTTGACGTCCTGTTCTCTTCCGAGAAGCGTTTTTATCTACATTGGTCTGAAGAAACTGTGAGTGTTACTTTCTCGATTTATCTCTGATCAGATTTGCAGTGTTCTCGTCAGTTGTGTGTACAACCTTGTTGATCTGAGAGTCGAATGTTTCGGAGGATATGGCTTCAAAATGTGATGCAGTGTAGAAAGACGCTCTCTCTGGTGACATATCCTAGCGCAACTTTCCTTCCATCTATTGCTTATGTTTCCCAAGCACGGCTTTTGACCTTGAGTCGGTAAACATTTGAGCCGTATTTTTTTCCATTTACATATTCTTTTGAATCGTTAGGTGCATCGCAATACACTCTAAATTTCCAAAAAACACTGTTGAAGTTGTATTTTGCAGTATTAGGTAGCATTAAGATAAAGTTGTTTTTCTAAAACAAATTAATTTAATGAGCAGAATTGCTCTCTATATGTGGATTGATGGAAAAAGAGACATTATATTTCATTAAAATAATCACATATTATTTCCAGGAATAGTAAAACCTCCACTTCTAAACATATTACAGAAGTAAAAGTGAACGAGATTAGAAATAAGCCTGGGAACAAAATTGCAACTATACCAAATGCTTTGTGCTTATTCAGGTGTGTTTCTTTCATTTGTAATTTCCATGCATTGACCTCATTTACTTTTAAAACTACTTAACCACTCATTTATTTTTATATGAAGTGTTAAACGTAACTTATGCATTTGGGAATCTACCTTACACTTATTCCCCTGCTCATCGATATATATTGAAGATGACTGATTTTTCAAACTGCGTGGTAGGAGTTTGTTGCTATGTCTGATTTTCTCGGAGTAATTTTAGAATTGGAATGACTCCATTAATTGGATATTTAATAATAAAGGAATCATACATGATTGCACTGGCTTTATTTGCTATTAGCGGGATAACAGATTGGGTTCGTTTAATTATTCTGTAATATATTTTAAAACCTAATATGGTTTAGTTGTTGCGTCTTTTGTAACATCCACTTCTGAACAGGAGTGAATATTTCAGTAAAAATATGAATTCTAAACCCGTAGATCTTAATTTACTTTTTTTGGCTATAATGGATAGACTGACGAAAGTTTATTTTCGTTCTCAGATCTCATCACCTCTTCATTATCAGCGAAAAGCATGGTATTGAGTTGAGTATTGAATACTCCATTTCTTTTTAATATCGTACTGTTGTGTAATCATTGTGTTATAATATACCACTGATTTGTTAATTCTCAAATGCTTCCTTTGCAGAATTACAAAGTCGTATTCAAGATTAAAAGACATGTTAATTTCTGATAATGAATGGTTAAATTTTTTGTACGAGATTTTTTTTCGAAAAAATTTGAAAATCATTACATTTATACTCCATTTCAGTTGGATGGTTATATTGCTCGAAGCTTTTGGAGTCAAAATTCGCTGGTTGGTAGTATAATTGACCCTGTGGCTGATAAATTACTTGTTACAACCGTTTTTATTAGTCTCACTTACGTCAAACTTGTACCATGTGACTTTTCCTCCTTAATTTTATTGACATTAGTTTAATTCTTGTAACCTTTTATTTAAAACTATTCTATTTACAACATTCTCAATTTTAGTGCCTCTTACTATTCTGGTGATTTTACGAGACATTGGCCTTATTGTTGGTGGAGCTGTAACCAGATACAAAACACTTGAAAAACCGGTAACATTAATCCGGTATTTTAGCCCATCTGTTTCACCACTTCAAGTCACACCAACATCTGTCAGTAAAGTCTGTATTTCTCCGCTTTTTTTTTTTCAGCAGGAAATAATTAAGCAGGAGATTCTAATTTTTTTTTTTTTTTTTGTTTGTTAATTTGTTGTCTTTTCCTCCCATTCAAGCGTTGTAAATTCAGTTTTATTTTTTGTACTTAGATTTTATATTTCAGATTTTATATTTCAAACTTTTGCTTAACTTCATCTATTTTCTTTTTTGAGTCCAAGTTTCTCATGTTTAACTGAGCTGATTGCATTAATTTTTTAGTAGACTTTGGTTCCATTGTTTTAATTTAATCATACAAGTTTCATTCTTTATCTTTCTTAACTATGATAAAATTTGAGCAAGTTTAGGTGAATACGGCACTTCAGATGTGCACAGTCGCTGGAAGCCTAGTATCTTCTATATTAGGCTTTACGAATCATCTTTTTCTAACACATATCTAGTGAGTCGGTTTTGTCATTTATGATTATTTGCAAAAAAAAAAAATAAGTCTAGTCAAAATTTTTCAAATTTGCTTTTGCCATTTACTTATCATTTTAAGCAGATGACAAAATACGTTTTAGCTTTGCTACTGCCGCAACAACGATCTATTCTGGATTCCAGTACGCACGGCTGACCAGGATGAAGCCAGTAAAGAAAGAATAATAGTCAGTGAACTTTTGGATATTTTCACGTTTTAGGTTTTCTTTATTTCTAGATTTTAATTAATACAGAACAGTTATTATCGCTTGATAAATATCCAAAACCAAATATTAGCTGCATGAAGTCCTAAATATTAAAAACTTTTTATCTTTTCCTGCGAACGGACGGATTTTGTATTAGTTTATTATGAGATTTAATTGCATAATTTTTTTTGCTTGAGAAATATAGATTTGATGACTAGCTGTAAAATACAACCTTGTAATATGTGACGTGCTTGATGATCTTTGTTATTGGATATTATCAACTTAAAATGAATAAAATTCCAAAATTTTGTCGACATTTTGGGATCATTTTACTTACAGAACTTTTATCTTTGTGTGGATGAGAATTCGATGTCTAAAGTAATACAAGAATGGTATGATCGCAATGAATTTTTAAGAAAATTGTTTTCTACATGATCTGTTACTTGTTTTTCAGAAGTTAATGTTTCCATTATTCTGAACTGGATGTTAATTGAGTTTGATTTTTATTTGATAGACCTGTCATGGAAATGCTTATGCTTTGAGAATGATTATTCCATTACCATAGTACCGTAAAATATAAGAGTGTACCATATTTGATGACACGTGATAGACAGACAGCTGATAGTGCTGTCATCTTATGCTTTCACGTTTCAAGAATGGCTCTAGCGCATAGATTTGCCGATTCCTTTGGTAGTTCGTGGAAGTGATATAATCACTTTTCAAATGAACTCTACTATTAATAAAGAGATATATCTCGGCTTGTTCAGTTTTTTCTCTTGAAAAAAAATTTTTTTTTTGGAACAGCCATTTCATTATTTGCTTTGTTGTCAAATTGTTGTTTGAAATAAAAAAATTTAAGTTCGGAAATGTCCCTTTTGATGCTTTTGTCAGTTCATAGTTATTAAATTTTTATTGATTTCAACTTATTTCAAAAGAGTCTTAGGAAAAATGAGATGCGATTCATAGTTATTAATATGCGAGAATTTTTTACTGCCTTACTATTCTACATGTTTGTAACTCAATAATAGTTATGCAGAAATTTTCGAATTAAGGAAATTAAATGGAATTCTTGTTGCATAAAGATTTTATAATTGGTGGATGAAAATACATTAAGAACACAGTAATAAAATTGGATTTCTTGGCTATAATTTCATGCTATATAAATTCCAATTTTTATCAGGATTACGACGGATATTTGCACTCTGTGTTGTACTTCTTTTTTTTGACATATATTAAGAAATGCTAATTACCGGTCTTTTGTTTAGCTAGAATGAAATACAGGGAAAAATGAACTTCGAAACTAACAAGTACAATAAATCAAAGAAGGACACATTAATGAATGGGAACAAATGAATAATTGGCGCTAATTAGGGAATCTTTAAAGTGATTATTGTCTCGACCAAGATGAAAACGTGTTCTGTAATCCAGTTTTTCTGTTAATCTTTCTCCTATACCGTAATTTGATTACATCGCAACCTTGATTTTGATTTTGTTCGGGGCTTAATTGTATAAATGATTTCTGGAAATTTTAAAATTCCGTCTTTCAAAATTAAGGTTTTTTATGCCTTATAGATTACTAATTTATCATTTTGTAACCATATGCTTTGGTGAAATCAACCTATGATGACTTTGAGTGAGAAATTAGGAAAAAAATTGAAATGGAATAGACAATACTAATTAAGCACAACACTATATGAGAAGTAATTGAGTATAATTCATTCACTTAGTTTGCGATCTTCCTCCAAAAGAATAAACTGTTTGAGAATTGGATTGCCTGTTTTTTAAATTCAACACTTTAACAAAGAAATTAAGTGAAGAAGAGGATGTAATGTTATGTACGGATGAGTATTATCACGGATTTAATGTCGATCAATCTCACAGTGTTGTTGGACAATCTCAATTCCCGTTGCATTGTTGCATGAAGTGGCACTAAGCGTCCGATGGGTGAAGCTGCATTGAATAGGAAACTCGTTGTGCAGTCATTTCAATGTTTACTTATTCAATCCCTTCATTTCTCCTTGTTTCCACTGATCAGCTGTTCTGACACGTTAGTTAATTTAATTTTGCTTTATTACATCATTATGATCAATTATCGTTGTAAGTTTTGTAACAACTCATATGTTTAGTGCATTTATTCACTTGCTAATTTGTGTCGTTGAGTCTTTACTGTCGTCAGAAAGATTATGAAAAACGACATTATAACTATCGGATGTGAAGCTTACATGTTTTGAAAGTAGCATGAAGAATGGCTGCAGCTGTATCCAGTGACATTTAAGAACATGCATTTATTGTGCTGGAGACAGAATTATCTTATACATATGCTTTCAGTATGTATTTACTAAACTCATTGATGAATGAAATCTTTCAAATGGTTCATTTGATAATGTCGATAGTAATTTAAACTTAATAAGCAGTTAATTATTTCAAAAAATGAACACTTTGAAGAATTTAAATTCCTTTTACGGCCACATTTGTTGTTCTAAATTTTTATTTCGACAAGTCAACGTAGATCACTACTTTCTGGGAAATGTTTTATGATTCTTTACAACTACCAGAAATTCTACATATGTGGTGGCTGTTTATAAAATGCTTGGTGAATTGTATGCAGAGTGTTAATGTTGTAATATGCAAAAAAAATCAAAAAATATGTTCAGCAGTCATTTAGCGATTTCGAATTGAGCTAAAATAGGTCATTATTTCAACTTTCCGTGGCAATCAATTTTTAGCTCACATTTAATAGCATCAATGCTTCTAAATGTAATGAAAGTATTGATCATGTATATCTATTATAATAAGTACTGTTCCGAGTAGTTAAAATAAAGTTCTTTCTTTCCATTACTAATGGAAATGTTAAAGAGGATTTCTTATCTTTATCAAAAAACCGTGTTGATTTACCTTATCCGATGCTGTCAATCAGACATTGTTGCAACCATTTTTGAAAGCAGAACACATCACACACACTTATTTCTATCCAAATTCAATGGTTTCACAGACTAACAACTTGCTGGTTGTACTGAAAAGAATGAGAAAAATATAATAGGACTAAAATGATAGATTCAGGTACTGCTTGCAAATAGATGAAAAGATGATTGGTTTCAAAAGTTAAACTGATAGAGAATCATGTTGCCATCTATTTATTTACAAGAGCAATTCTGAAGGTAAAGGAAAAAAGTGCTGGATTTTTGTCAATATATGTAGATGTTCGAAAAAGAAGTATAGTGGAGAAGGCGAAAAGAAAAAAGGGATGCCGAGAAAATGAGAATACCGAATTGGTGGTGCTCTTGCTGTAATTCCGGGATTACTGCAATAATGTGATTTTAAAGAGGGCAAAAGACAACAAAGTGATATAGTCATTACTAGTTTTTTGAATTTCAGCGAAAAGAAGAAAATTTTGTAAAGACTCTCCCATATGTATCACAAAGATTCATATGTTTGCCTTTTTTTGGAAACTTTTTCATAATTTTGTTACAATTGGAATAAAGCAATTATTTTTACCATTGTAAATAATCTACTTTATGTTGATATTGTCGCATTTTCAGTTTTTAGCAAACCAATAAATTTTGTCTCAATTTTTTAATCAAATGGTCAATTGTAAAAGTTTCGTTCTTACTTTCTTTTTTTCTAAATACGTGCTTTGAAAATTTTCGGCTCATTCTATGACGATCCTAAGTAAAAATGCGCCATGAGAAAGCTAAAGAGCATTTGTTTAACAACAAATAATGTGGCAAATAATTAGATTTTAATCGTTAGCTTCATTTTTAAAATCCATTATTTAGATATTCTTTGAATTATTTTGCTATCTATACGTATAATCAGCGTCTGCTTTGTCTAGTCACTAGTTTTAAACTGCAGTCTAATTTAGAAATAACCTTTATGATGTGATGAATTTGATCTTGTCGATCTACCATTAAATTTCATGAAATGTATTATATTATATTCCAAAAATTTGCTTTTCTAGAATTCAAATCAAAAAGATAATTGACATCATTTTATAATGCGATTGAATGGCGCATTAATTTCTGCACAATTATGGCTTATTATTGCTACTCAAAATACGAATGAATATGATGAGAAAGTTCTAGCAATGATTCCAGAGATAAATTTTCTCTCAGTGCGCCAAAAAACATTACCAACTTCGTTTTCTTCTAATAATTTGACGCAACATCCACACCAACAACATGATGAACGTCGTTTACTGAAGGATCGGAATCGCAGATTTCAACATTATCAACAAAGAAAAGGTTTATTTTACTTTAATTGAAATTATTTTTGTTGAAACACAATTAGTTAAAAATGTTGCGAGAATTTTTGAAACAGAAATTTTTATGGTGTATTTATGGTGTTGTTTTCATTGACTTTTTGAAGTTATAGAGTAAGGCTGTTTTGGTTTTATTTTAGCAAAACGTGCCCTAAATGTTTTTCCTTACTTTATAATATCACAAATTTTAACTAATTTAATTAAAAAGTAAAGTGCAACAACTATGGAGCAAAATTTATTTTTTCAATTCTACTAATTCATTTAAAAGTTTTCGAGTCTTTGATCATAGTAACATTTAACAGAACTTCAAGTATTCATCTTTTTGAACAAAGTATTTTAAGTAATTATCCAATAAAAAATTAGAAAAACGTCGAATCAGCAAAAGAAAATGGGATGAATTCTATTCATAAATATAGCAAATAAACAAGTAAATTTTTCAACAAAGAACTGATCAAAAATGCATCTAACATTCATAAACCAAATTATAATTTTGCTTTTCGAACTTTATAGTTATATATTTCATCACTCATTAAATAGGAGAAACATCGATGAACAAACTATCAGATGATATGGAAAGTACTGTCGCAGAGCCACTTATCAGATTCCCTGTTGTGACATTTATTCAGACGTATGCTAGCAACGACACACGACTGATACCTCCGGTAAACAGTAGCACCCTCCAAAATATCGCATTTCCTGTTTTGCCAAACAGTGGTACTTTCTTATCACTTTATTACCGTATCAATATTTCATGGTTTTTTTCAATCCATGTTATCTCTTAATTGTCTTCTGGACGTTTTCATCGTTTTGGTGCATTGAAATATTATTTTCTATCATGGCATTCTCATCACTCAACTAATAATTTGCTTGAGATTACCTAACCATCGCAAAGTAAATCTAGTCTTTTATATGTAAATTTTAAATTAAATTAAACTGATCGAATTTTGATTTCATTTCTCAATTCATTTTCAGTTCTTGAAAATTATTTTAGAAGAGCAGCGAAATAAAAAGAGAAGACTATCGAATAATACGGGAGGTCGTGAAGATGATAAGGATGACAAGAAGAAAGATGAGGAGGACAATTATTTAAACGATAATGCGATTGATGTAGAGGTGGAAATCCTAAGAAAAATGGAACGCACCACGGTGAAAGTTCGTAACTATCCTCCCGTTACCGAAGCTACTCAATTTCCTGTCACTGCAGACATTGTATCAGTTGATCCTCGACATGTTGCAGGTTTATCGATGCTGGCACCTTCGATCCCCTTACCTTCCACACCTGGTCATCCACGTTCACATGATCTTGATTTCGGAACCCGCACAACGGTTTCATATGCAACCTTTAGTTCACCTCTGTCTTCAGGTATCACTCAAGAGCAGCACTACATTCAGAAACTAATTCAGCGACCAAACGTCACAAAATTATCTGCAATTCCTTCTTTCATAAGTGCTTCAGCACCGATTGCATTGCCGATACCACCAAGCAAAGCTGAAACATCGCCCAGTCTTTTTAACATTCAATCACAAAATTCTGGAATTAGCGCACTGATCAGTAATGGTCATTTCCGGAATTCAGGTAATACAAATGCAAGAAATATAGATAATTCACTTCGGCAACGTCACTTACCGGGGAAAATTCAAGTTCAAATGCAAGTACATCCTCGAGAACAGGAACCATTAGATGATATATTGGGTTGTACATGGGATATCGTTACTAACAGTTGCAAAGATCTGTTTTCATTAAAACTCTGTTCACACTGTCATGATTTTGGGAACATTTTCTTGCATAACTGTAAATGCCTTTTAAAGTATATAACAACATTTCAAGCATAGTACATTTCTCCTGTCTCTTGTCATCTTGTTACCAAACCATATTCTTGTTTCAATTAAAGATTCAAGACTACAGATCGTTGATAATTAACATTTCGAGTTAGTGGAATCCAAAAATTTACCCATTTCTACTTTATGAGAAGCGTTATTTCAAGTTCATTGTAAATATTGGTCGATAATGATCATCATCAAAACATTACATCATAGTGTTCGATATATGGCTTGAATAAATGATATAAAAAGATAATTCGTTTATCATTAATTCCAATACCAAACTATCCCGAGATTTTTTCCATTTCAATTTGTTTGTTGCTTTTTCGTCTATTTTGTTGGTATTCTACTGTATGTTTATATGATGGGTATTTATTGAAGTCATAAATTAATAAATTTAGAATTTAAGCATTTCTAATTACTCAAATACTTCGATCATATTTTCTGTTTACGAGAGTTAAATCTATCAGTTATCAAGTATGCAAAGTTATATCAAAATCAATTGACTTTAGCGGTCATACTGCATTTGAAATTTGAAGAATTGTTACTCTACTTCATAATGTTTACTATTCAAATTATCTTATTTTTCAAATTCTCAAATTGCTCCTAAATAAAGTGAAAATAAAAAAACGGAAAAATGAAACAGAAAATATTTCTGATCTTCTCTGTTTGAATACAAACTGATAAGAGAAAACTGAAGAAAGCTCTAGTTACATAATGCAAACAATTTGCGCTCACGGATAATGACTAATAAGTTCACTTCAGAACTTGTATTTCCTGATTCATCTCAGACTGCCAGAAGTCAAAGAACAAAAAGAGTCTAAGATTTTCGGTTCGTTGGAATTTGAATACAATCAAAAAAGTGCATTTGTGAAAATGCATGAAGACTTCGTTTCGGAAATGAGAGAAATGAGTGTTGCCAATAATTAATGATACCTTAACTCCGCGGTTTCCATTCGAGACGCATCCATGTAAACTTATTTCCTTGGTTATCGAGGCCAATTTACTTCACGTGGGATCATAATTCGTTTTGCTTCAGGATCACATGCGTCCGTGAGAGTATGTGATTTGGTTACGTAGTTTATTTTCCTTCAGAGAGACAGCACGAGGAGTTATTGTGGTTGTATAACCATAATAAACATTTAAAAGTATTGCTCCAGAAGTGACCATTTAACAATGCATCAAAAATATTTCGGAAAATGATCTCTCTGATAGTTTTTTTTTTTTTTATTTTTATTTTTTTTGTTCTTAACATTTCAACTTCTACAATCAGAAGATACTATTGAATACGAACTTTAGAATGATAGGTTGATTTAGTAATTTGAATATTTAACATGCAGTAATGCTGCTACCAAATTCCATTTTTCCCGTTTTCAACGAAGTGCTTAATTAATTGTTAGTCATTAATTTCAGATGTTAGTAATTTGTAACAAAAATCGTTTTACTCCATACGTTCGATAATAAGAATTAAGTATAGAATAATTATATTTAAAATTATAGAGGATGAAATGGGATAAGATAACAAACTTATTAAGTTGCATATGTTACCGAAAGTAGTTTGGAATATGTGGTAAGACCGTATTTACAATATTGTTATGACAGCAGTTGTTAAAATAACAATGCTCTTTCCAATCCTCTTTTCATTAACTTTCGTTGTACTCATTTAAATTTTTGAATTTATTCTTTTCATAGCTTTATTCTATTTTTTAACGTATGAATATTACCTTTCAAAAATGAGAAATACTTTAAGAATCCCATGCGAACATTGGCTAATCATTGATTATTGGTGTGTCTCATTTGTTATAGCTTCTTAAATTATGTTCATGCATTTTCCAGAAATTTAAAATGAAATATGAAAAGCAAATTTGTTTGATTAACAAATCCATTCTGCGTTATTTCACTAAACTTTTTTTGATAAAGAAGCATAGTTTTTTTTTTTTTTTTTCAAGTTCGAATGCTTTAGTTGGCATTAACTTAACCGATCTCTTGATAAGAAAGTATAAAAAGAAAATGAAATAAGTAACGAAAAACTTTATTAATCTGAATTTTAATTTCGTTTTAATTAGTTAAGATGTATTTAGTTATTTTATGGGCAAAAACACAGATTATGTTTTTTGTTGATAATGAAGATGATTATCTAATAATCATGTCTGCTTAATCATTACGACAAGGCTCTTTTCGTAATTTCCATCCAAGTGTTAAAAAAAAAGAGAAAACTAGTCCTTGAATGATTTATCTCTTACGTAATCAAGTGAACCACGAAATAGTCAAACAGCATGAAAAAATTAATAAAGCACTGATAGAGGAAAAACTGAAATTATGGAGAACGAAGCTAAATTAATTCCATAATATATATTGAAAACAATATTTCATTTCTAAAAATTATCATGGAAATCAAATACTCATAGCCACTATTCTTCTAAAAATAACTGATATAAACAATTTCTGTCAGAAAGTTACAACAGTCTCTGTTCAATGTCACATCCAAATTGAGTACGCAAAGCTGATATGACATTTGAGTGACATACGTGAAATGTCTCTACCATAGTTTGTGCAAAAGACTTTTCATCCCATAAAGAGGTAAATCTTTTCAGTCTTTAAATTCTTTTTAATCGATATTTTAATATTCATTACGTTTACTCAAATTCAACCGGTATTTATTAGTGAAAAGATCTGCAAAAGTAAATTTGAAATTTCATACTTTCAGTTTAAAAAATTCTGAAAAGTTCATCTTTGGGTAATGCAGATGATATTATTGTTTAGCGATGCAGCAAATAAGTTATGCTGAGCTTTAATCGATGAAATAATGCGAATGCAGGTCATCGCTATGGTTATTTTATTGATTTCTCTTTGGAAATAGCCAGTAACATCGAAATTTGAAAGCATCCAAAGAATTTTTATTCAGAAAAGTTTCTTAAAGCCAAGTTTCTATATAATCAAAGAAAAAGTTTCATTTTCCTGGTGTTTCAGAGCTATTTCACTAAAATTTTCTAAGGATTTACTTTACCACTTTGAATTTCTTATCGCTGCACTTAGAATGAATTATTCAATGGAATGCCAAATGATGTTCAAAACAAGGAAGCAATTATGGATGAATCATTTAACCTTAAGTGAATCATCCTGGCATGTTTATGTTTTCCAAGTATTGCAAAAAGAAAAAAAACCTGCACATAAAACATTAATAGAGTTAATTAGTAGAAACCAATAAGTAGTAAATTAATAGACCAATAAGTAAGTTTTTCTTCAAATGAAATTCCCTTTTTGACTGCACAGAAAAGCTAAATTCAATTTATATTTTTAAATAATGATTATCTTTTATGAGTGTGCCATGTGCCGTATGATAATAATTCCTACTTTTTATCACTTTTTCTCATGTAACAACTTTTCTAAAATGTAACCACAATATAGCATTGGGGTATTCCTGCGCAACTGGAAAAATGTATTTGCATGATTAATACATAAATTTTGATTTGTAGAAGAAAACATAGAGAACAGTTAGTTTGCTTACATATGTTAGGCCTTTTACAATATAACGAAGAAGCTTAAAATTAATTTATGCCAATTATCGTTCAATATTTGTCGGGAAAGACTCATTGAAATTTTGTTATTGAGTGCATTAAAGTTAAATTTGCAGCCTTTCCAAAACTATTCCGTCCTTCATCAAGCAATGTTGTTCACTGCTTGTTATTCTCACCTGAACGTCGGGCGTTAATCAGCAAATTGCTAAGTGTCTTTCAGTCATTGATTCTGTACTTGAAATTACGGATTTGTCGGAGCACAACTTATCAGAAAACTAACAGGATGGATAGTACTGAACAGTTTAAAAAAAAAAAAAAAAACAAGTGAATTTGATGAATTCATCCCAACGGGTGTCGCATTTGTACCATAGCAACAAGAAACATGTAAAGCCTTATATTTGTTGAAATTCGAGTAACTTTTTCTTATTCTATTCCTTCCTCCTTTTATTAACAAGACTGTGTGTCTCTGTCAAGGAGAGATTCTTCTTCATCTTTCCACTCCTTTCTCTCTCTCTATTTCTCTTAATAGAAAATAAGTGTTATTTTCGCTTTCTTTTTCATTTTCTAAAATTTAGCTACAAGAGAAGAAGTAATAAGAGACAGGCGAGCTTTTTTATTTATTTAATGTTGTCTGCTATATTAATGTTAGTAAAGTTAACTTTAAAATATCTTCGGAAAACTTGCGAAGGCCTTTGTTTTCAACAGAAATCTTGCATAAACATGAATCATCGCATATTAATTCATTTAGTATAATAAAATTCCGTTTAATCAATTTTATTTATTGACGTTCTTTTGTTTGCGTGCATTATATCAGACTTATAATTAATGAAAATTAAAAAGACAACTGCAGTGTTTATGAAATTAAACCGAGCACTGACCATACATCTGCAAAATGACACGATGGCGTTATAACTATATCGAATTTTTAGATATGAGCATAGAAATTTGAAAAGCGCAGCAGGAGACAAAAGGCTCAACATAAGATAAAAGAATTGCAAATGTCTGTATGTTTATCGTTGCAGACACTAGCGCCTACTGTTTTGTTTGCTTCAATAGGGACGAAAAATTGATTGGTGCCCTTAAATCCTAAAAATTTTCCAATCAAAAATAGTGAGATGATAAAAAAAGATCTAAAGTTTCAGGAGATTAACCTTTGTTATGACTTGTGTTAATCGTTCGAGCAAATGATCATGCATTTATAATTTTAAGATCACAGAAACTAAAGAAATTAGATGCAGTCACATCTAAAAATGTTGTTTTCTACCTTCGTTATCTAAAGTATTGGTCTGCAGTTATTGTGAATACAAAAAACTCCAAAGATACAGTAGAAGTCAGCATAAACTTTGAAAAAAGAACTCGGAAAAATTAAATCAACACGATAATTTCATCAAAGAAATGAACGGGATCAAGAACGTGTTACTCTTGATACCAACAAGATTAGTAGCAAATTCATTTTAGCATCGGTGTCACATCATTTGTATTTTTCTTTTCTGTTGAATTATTAAGAAGTAATACCAATGCTTCTAGATTGAATTCATCTTGTATCTGTCATCTGTTATTCTTTTTGCACTGTGTATGATGAGATTACTTGATTGATCGTTAAGTGTTTTTTCTTTTGAAGCAAACAAATTTTGGTTGTAAACTATACATCAGGAATTTCTTCGAAAGTGCAACAAAAATGAAAGTGAAATGCACTTGCTGCCCTCAATCATATCCTTTTCTTCTTTTCCCTCATTTTTCTATTTTGGAATTTGCTTGTATAAATGATTTGTCGCCTATTATTCTTCAACATTTTATGAAAAGTTTCTTGTTCATTTCCGAATTGATTATTTAAAACCCACTTTGAGTTCTATTCACAGTGCATTTTTTAACTCCTGCGTACTTCGCTAACTTTCTAAATCTAATTTAACTGAAATATCACCTTGAAAAATTAAAACTTATAATCGTCGTTTTGCATAATATCCTTCTTTCGCTATTGTAGAATTACAATTATTCAAACTGAACTATTTGTGTGTAAAGATATGTTTTCAATTGTTTTTAGCAAACTTCAATATTTAATTTAATTCTGAGTGAAATATTGAATAAGTATGCTTCAGTAACATTTTTATAGATCCTAAACTAATGGATTTAAAAAAGAAAATTCAGGAAAAAATATACGATGGTTCCAATGATTTGCATGTGCTGTCTATGCTGTTCTGAATATCTGACTAATTAAGGTGTAGAAATAGATCGACACCTGGTGGTTTTTCAGTAGTTCTTTTTAAGCTAATGCTTCTTCCTTGCGTGAGAGCACAGCGTGCATTGCAATTCAGTTATGCTTAGATTGAAAACTTTAGTCCTATTTTTTCTGCCAAAGGTGTGAAGTTAACAAATGATAAGGCAATACCTTCTTGTACTTCATTACAGTTGACCAGCTTCTTTATTATTATTCAATTACCGTTTTATACTTTAATGGTTCCATGCTGATAATTTAAATTGAAAGAAACTGAATCTGAGTTCTAACTAGATATTTCATACTTCGTAATACAGATTTATATTTGTATTTAGGAATACAAGACGAACCAGTGCATCACCAATTTCTACTCAAACATAGATGGTTTGATTTTTGAATCGAATCTCGAAGTCTTTCTGATTTTAGGTAGAAAAATCAGAAAAAAAGATTTTGGATTTGATTAATCATATTTTTAATAAAGGAAAATGAAATCAAACGCTTTTGTTAATTGATACTTCTTTGAGTAAGTATCTTATTTTCTCTTTTTGGCTAGCTAAATATAAGTATCACCAGTGTATCAATTGAGACATCAGTGTGCAACCGTCACTAGCCAATTTTGTTTTATGCAGTAAACTCTAACTGTTTTACTATAACAATCTTTTAACTTTAGCTAATACTGTCACTGATTCATCAACTGCACTTCGATTCTTGTCCAAAAATAATTCTGAAGTTACTAGAACATCATACATTCGTTAAAACTTCCATAAAACTTTGACAAATCAGGAATATTGGAATAGATTACATCATTACCGCTTCTTGCTATGTAGAGGGACAATGTGACACCGACGTTCTTGGCTACAACTCTCTCTGGAAATATGCAATTGAATTAATGTTCACATTGCAACTTCTGTGAACATTTAATATCGTTCTCTTTTTACGCCTTCCTGTCTGTCATTTGTTCTTGAAGCGACCGACCATTATTAATCAAATTTGTCGCGATAGCATTGAGGATATGACCAACTTATTGAGCTCTTAGTTTTCACGTTTTTCTCGAAGTTACATTCATACTTTAATTGTACAAGTGGTACTTAATGATGCAGTACTATTTCGTCCCTTAACAACAATATTCTTTCATAACAACACCATGTAGAGACACATATTGCTACATCTGAATTATCGATTAGCATACTTGAATTTAAGTCAGCTAATGAATGAATGAGCTTTCGATCAAGTTAAAGTTATTAACTTTACTAAAATATATTGTTAAATAATGCTGAACTTATGCCATACCACTTATGCTGTGACTATATATTTTCTTTTCTTGTAATTGAACATCTTTTCTTCACATTTTAAAGCAAATTGTTTCTTCCTCTAACCGCCCGTAAATGAGCTATTCCCTCCTAACTAAGTTTAAATATAATTAGAATGACCTGTGACCACAGTGATCTTTCTCTCTATATTACTGACATATTCTTGTTCGGCTTTGTCGCACGTATCAAATGCGAGAAATTTCCAATCTCATTGCAGACTGAAAATTTTTAATTATATTACCAAAATAATTAACCGATGTCAATTATACAAACATTCAATAATTTTAGTTTCATCAGCATTCCATACTGGAATTTTATCATTTTCTCGTACGAAACTTTTAGCCTTTTTTGTTAACTAAAATTATATAGAAAATTATTTAGATATATCAATACAGAACTCTTTAAAGTATTCAACCATACCAGTGTTTTCATTATTGTCAAAGGACAAAAAGTTATCTAAGATGTAACAAATGTTCCATTCCGAATGAAATATGTTGACATTACACATTTAGCTAATAATCGAATATCATCCTCAATTGGGCCAGCTCACCATAATCCATCTGCACGGAATCTTCCCTTTTATCTTTCTAATGAACTAATGATTTGTTTCGATATATGTTATTTATATTCTTCAAGTAATTTATTTCAGAAAAATCTGCATATATGCAAATTTTGTAAGCACAGATAAATATGCTTTCCACAATTTCATATTGACATTTATTTGAAATGCTAAAAATGATGGTAGTGGATTAAGAAGTATTATTGGCTAGAAGACATTTAAAGTTGATGAATTTTGTTGCAGGTGTGCTACTGGTCAGATTTGTTAAGTCCAACAAAATAAATGGACAAATATGAAGGTGCGGAATTTCGATTACCGCCAATTGAAGGAATATGGGAACCAGCTTTTCGAATACCCTTCATTTCATACTTTGTTCTGTTTCAAATTGTTGGCTATTTCATTCGGACATATGCATGGAAGAGCTATAGCGGTTTCAAGTTTGTACAACTTTTTTTCATTTAAAATATTCTTTGAGTGATTAATCAGTGAAGTCATTTAGCTCTATTTTATCCCTGCATTGGTATTAATTATTTCAATATTTATAAAATAAAAATGTCGTTTATCTATTTTTGTTGAATCTTGAATGAAACCTTGGATTAGCGCAGAACATTTTATGAAAATGACCATTAGAGACAATCTCAGCAAAGTTTAAAATTAGATAGAAAGAGACAGTATATTACATTCTTGGCTCATTAGCGAAGTCTTCCTGAATTACTTGCTAAAGTTAAAGAAAAGTTCATTTCATATTAAGGTGAATATTTTTGCAGGCAGTATCGATTGCGCAATTTAACGCTATGTGTAATTCATTCTAGTATCAGTGGCCTATGGTCATTTGTATTTTCCATAACCCATCAACAAGTAATGCTAGAAGAAACGATACATTGGTACAGTCCTTGGGCCGTACAGCTTCCAATTCTATCTATGGGTTTGACAGATTCTCCACTATGAAAATCTTTAGAGAATAATAATGCACTTCATCTGTACATGAATTAATTAAAGGGATTGTTGACGGATGATGGATTAAGTCTCTGAAAGAAACTTGCAAGTTGGAAAATCATAGAAAATAATATTTTCTAATTATGCTTTTAGTCGTTACGCTACACTGTGAATTTAATTAGATTTTAATTTTTTAAAACAAAAAAAAGCTGCCATTTTTGCTTTTTGTTACAGTTATCATTGCTCCCTAAATTGAATATATATTGCAGCATATTTCATTTGTGATACGATGGATATGTTACGGCATGAAATTTCGAAATGGACTATTGAATTACTATTTCACCATGCCGCAAGCATATTTGCTTTTGCTTCAGCCGTCCTTCCTCATAAATTTATCCCTTACACCTATTGGGCTCTTTTAATGGAAATTAATAGGTAAAAATCCTTGTTTAAAACTACTAAATTTATCAATGAATGAAAGAAATCGCAAATTATTTATATTAAATTTGTTAGCAAATTGAAAGTTTTAATTCATTTTAGCATCTTTCTACATCTTCGGTCACTAATGCAAATCACCGGCTATAGTGTTTTGAGGCAGAGCCTTTTCCGAATAATTCAACTTACAAATATTGTTACGTAAGTTATACCAAATTGTCAACTCAATTGTATTATCAAATTAGTTGGATTCAAATGAGTGTTTGTAATCAAAAACTCGGATATTTCATTAAATTTTGTTTATATTATAACTAGTATTTCTAAAATTAGCATATTTTGAATTCATAAATGGAGCTAATAAACATACAGATTTGTCATATTTCGATTTGCTGTACAAATATGGCAGATAAATTGGGCATGGATAAATCATCGTCGTTTTCATATCTTTTATACGGGAATTGCATTTATCGGTGGAGCATTTTTTCTAATCATAAATATGATTTTGTTTATACGAGTTTTGGCATCTGACGGGTACTTGGGAGAATTTGGCCGACAGCATGTAGCCATTGGCCGGTTTATTTTTTTTCTTTTCTTCAAATACTAATCGAAATCTTTAAAATTCACTCTTCCTTTATGAAAACAGTACTTACCAAAAATTCTGATTATCGTCAGTGAATTAACATTTGATCTTTTCTGCACTTCAATGTTATAAAGTGACAAAATGTTTTTTTGTTATGAAATAATAAACAGAGAAATGCCAAAAAATATAGGTAATAGTAGATGGAGAAGTTCAACTATACTCATTTTAAGTAATATGAACATACCTATGCTGTAATCTGTTTGTTTGTTTGTTATAATAGTTGGATTGAAATTCGTTTTTCAACATTAAATATGCTTTACAGCGATTCTCAAAAATCAGTTCGCATTACAGAAGCTATGAAAAACAGCTGAATGGATCATTTCTGCTCTTGTGTCCACTGCTTATTGTTACTGTTTCCTTGCAGTACACTGCTTCATTGTGCAAAAAGTTATATGAATTAATAATTGAATTTACATTAATATTATCGATTTAAACTTTCATATTTTATTGAGTTTCAAAATTTTTAAATATGTACTTCTCTATTTCTCTTTTGAAATTATCATATTTTTGATAATTTCAAATTATCATTTGAAATTATCAGATTACTATATTAAGTTATCATGCACGTCTAACTTTCCTCACATCAGTTGGCATCATTCATATACTCCGTTTTGTTCCACTCTTTATTTGTTTATGTTTTCAACGATAGTCATATTACGATTTGATTAAATGTGTAACGATGCATTTTTTTTTTTTTACAATATATATTTTGCAAGGAGTACTCCATCATTTCTTTTGTAATATTTGTGCTTCATTCTATTATTTCTTCTATCACACCTGTAACTTCTAACAAAGCTACTTCAAGATGTAAACTGTTGTCAGTTTGGAATGAAATGCTTGAAAGAAGTGAATTTAATTCAGTTTTACTTTTCAAATCTACACATGAATATTTAGTTTCCGAATTTTTCGTATTCCAATTGCTTTATTCTTTCGAAATTTCACTTCGCATAGAAATAAGTCATGTTATGTGACGAAATAGCAATAAGGAAAGTGGATTAGTGCGCTAATTGATGGATCCTTACAGTTTTCCTTAAATCTTTAATTGGAGTGGTGTCAAATTCTGCTTAGATATATCATATAATAATGGCAATAATAGTATTTCTTCGCTTTTTTTATGTCATTAAATTGTTTCGTCTTCATTTATTGAAAATTGAGCATTAAAATAGGACCTGAAATCAATATATTTTACTACCATTGTACAAGTAAGAGTTTGTTATTTAAAGCCAGTCAGAAATTATCCTTCATTTTAAAGTACAAAAGCATACTTGGAGTTCTATCATTTGTGTAAATTTACTCATTTCATTTTATCTAATGAATATTTCACTTTTTTTAAACGGCTTTTAGAGGTATTTGTGTTTTCTCTTTCTCTTTCAATCATTTAATATATTGCTCGTTGATTTGTGATTATTAATACAACATTACAAATATTCATTTATTTATTATAATTGATTTACTATAATTAGCAGTACGTTAATTCGAAGGACGAGCTTGATTGCCTATTACTATTCATCGCTGGAATTAAAAATTTTCCCACCAGTATTTGTCGTATTCTGAATTTAAATCTCTCTATCCGTTTTGTTGTCTACTCAATTTCTTCAATGTTTAAACCAAAAAGATCTATGGAATTGCATTTTATAACCTCAGTTTCAGTAAAATTTATTTTGAAAGAATGGAACACTCCTACGTAATATCAAAGCTATTAAGAGAAGTAAAGGATATGATAAAGGAATGATAAAAAGATGAAAATGGTTCACTAGAAACAATCAGAAGTACCATTCCTTCAGATGGAGAAGTGAGGTAGTTATTGTCTTCCCTCTTCCAACGTGGAAAAAATTTTAAATAAGGAAAAAAAAATCAAATTTAGTTTCGGTAGCAAAACAAATTTTCCATTGAAACTTCCTTCGTATTAAATAAAATGGAAACTATTCCTTAGAACACAAAGTAAGAGATTTTCACACATTTTAGAAAAATTTAATTTTTGTGAACAACTTTAATAAAGCCAAGTCGATCAAACCAGTAAATAGGAAAATCTTCTCTTCAGCAAAAATTTTGAAACAAGGTCCTCTTATTTTGAAACTTTACTTTTTATCCTGATTTCTTTTGTTAATTAATTAATTGGTGTGTCCCAAATCTTCTTTCTTCTTATCGACTTACGATGTCAACTAGGAGCATCCTCTTCACCTTTGCTTGTGCTTAGTAATTCCAAAATAAATGCTCTTGAAAGAATTCTTGAATTAAGAAGTGACTAGTCTCGTTGATCCAGTTGAATCCAGTACTTATTTTTCTTCATTTAGAATATCAGTAACTTTAATTTTTTGATGCAACTATCACTGAGATGATCAATTCCTGCACCGAGAGTCTTTTTTCTTTCATTGAGGATAATGTGGTGCAAAAAGTAACATGGCATCTTATTCTGAACTCACTTGTTTTATATTTTTTTTGCTTTTGTTTTTTGAATTGTTTAAATAACTTGGAATACATTTTTAAATTAATCGGATCAAATTAATGGGACCCATTTAAAGATGTCATTCACAGTTATAATAGATCCATACAGAATGAATCCATCAGAATTTGCATAATTTTGATATCCAAACTATGAATCACCAATGTTTTCGTTTCATAGACTAATATACACTTCTTTACCCATTTAAGTCGGTTGTTGGCAGCATTTTTCGAAATTGTCTAGTGGCAGGTATTGGCCATTATATTACAATAACTCATTCAACAAGGCTACTTATTCGAAGTACCATTATCGATTAGTCTGTTGTCATTCTCTGAGTATATATGTAACACATAAAATCTTCAGTCGATCAAATTCAATAATTACGATGTGAGCTATTCGCACTTCATTGGAGACTTATTATGTGTCTTTATTTAATTATTTTGTGCATATTTTTTGCTTTACCTTTTAGTTTAGTTCATCCGACTATTCTTTTCACTTCTATACACTTTTTAATCCGCAAAATGGAGTTTATTGAACAATTTTAGCTTTGCAACACATATACATCCATGTCGGATCCAATTGTTCGCTTTTTTTATCTGTAATTCATTGAGTTTGAAATTTTTGAAATTTGAGATTAATTAATTTCTTGTAGCAAAAGAAGATACTGCATATGATGAGGGAAATTTTGGGTGACATAATTAGGCCAACGCACTACGGATTAGAATGGGAACTTCCACGGATAAGTGATGTTTTGGAAACAAACTTCTTCTTACCTATCCTAATTTATTTCATTATCTTACAAATTCTTGGATATTTGGTCAAGCAACTTCTGTGGATAAGTTATTTACAATTAACGTATGTTACCTTAATTATTTCGAGAGGGATTTATTTATCTGAAAAGAAGTGTGACACTTTCTTTTAAAGGATATTTAAATGGCTGCTGAATTAATTAAGATATACAATCTCTCTTAAATAAAAAAGTAAGTGCTCTTTGTTTATTCCACCAAATGATTTAATTGGAGAAAGTTCCATTTATGGTTGTTCAGCACTATCAGTAGTAATTTAATTAATTGTGTGAAACAAACACTCTCCAGGCGCCATCGGTTGCAGAACTTGACAGTATCATTGGTCCATTCATGTATCGCGGGCTGCTCTTCATTAATCTTCTTTATTACACGTCCAATAGTCATGTTGGAAGATGCAATACACTGGTACAATCCAGTAGCTGCTCAATTAATTTATTTTTCAATGGGTAAACTTGCAGATATTTGAAATTTGTTGCGAGGAAGTTTTTAAATTAAAAATCTTGATTTGAAAAACAAGTGTCTACTTTTTTAGAAAACATTTCTTCTAAAACTTAGATATTTCACCTGATAATTTAAACTGTGGCAAAATATAATAGGCAGATTTTGAAGTTACCTCAGATTTAACAAGCAATTTTGAAGCATATTTTCTTTACGACACCACGGATGTTATAAGAAATGATAGTTCCTGGCATGCATTCGTAATCCTGGCTCATCACACTGTAGTGTACAGTATTTTTTCTATTGGAATGCTTTCGCACAAGTTTCTTCCATACACTTACTGGGCCTTAATGGTCGAAATTAACACGTCAGTTTTCAGTAATTTTTCCATCTCAAAATTACCTGAAGCCTTAATAATTTTTCAATTTCTCCAGGTCTTAAGAAAACAGTAACAGGAGCTCTTTATAAGCCTTAATAATACTGTTCTACTTTATTATTTTGGAGCATGCACAACTTACAGAAGTTTTTTACATGTTCGTTCGATCATGAGACTTACCAATCGAGATCCATGTAAAAACTTATGTTACAAAACGATCTCTTTACTTGCGTTTTTGACGTAAGTCTCTCTCTGTTTTTACACCTCGTTGATTTGTAAAAAGTTTCAAAAAAGGAAAATAATGAATTCAAGTTTTTTTTAATTTAATATTCATTTAAGGAGAAAATCATTTCATTGCGAAGAAAATAAAATTACAAATAAATAAAGAAACATTGCACTTTTAGATCTGAATAGGATTTTTTTCTTGTAATCTTAGTTTTTCATTTCAGTCTTTGATTGCAATTCTGCATGAATTCCTAGTAGTAAGATTGTTTGCAAAGTTCCTTTTCAGCTTTTTTGTTTTTCGACTTGGTACACTGTTATGGATGATGCTTTTCATGGTGATGAACTATGGGACATTTCATCCCTTCTACACATATAGCAGTTTAACCGCCGAAGTGTTTTTTTTTATTTTCAGTATATTTCTTCTGCGGCACCTACTTATTGAAGAGGGCATTCTCGAAAAGGCAGTATTATAGGAATTTACACAGGTTCGCTTATCTGTAAAATTCTTTTGTTTGATTGACAGCTTAATGAACATCAATTATTTTCTGATGATGATTCATAATAAGCAAATTCTGTGTTGGGAAATTTGACTCAACGATCTTCAGGCGTAATTTGATAAATCGCAAGATCAAGACAATCTTAATAGAGTTCCCGATCGGAACAGATATAGACCATGAGAGATTAATATTTTATATAAAGTGTTCATAGTTTACTCACATAAAAAATGATGTAGGCAATGTTTTTTAGAGAAACTAAAATTTAATTTATATTTCAATTTTTTTTCTCCAAGTGCAAGTGTTCCATTCATATACTTACTGTGTCATGAATAATTAATTAATTGGTCTATGAAAAGCATGTAAATTGTGGACTGCACCTGAAGTTTCGATTTCTTATAGGATATAAGAAGCATTGCGCGATATTATCACATGCGGTTTTGTATGACTAGTTATAAGATGCTAATCTCAAAAAATCACATATACTTCGAAGTATTGTTAGCTTAGCTTGTTTATGCATAATTATGGTAGTAATAAATTATAATAAATTTACTTAATAATAAATTAGTAAATTTTTGTTAATAAATTAATCGTTCTCAATTATATCTATGGCTTGTCAGGTTATTTTAAGAAACAAAATTGTATTATATATTAATATTATCATTATTTCTCTTACAGCGTATGTTCCTGTCAAAAATTTTTTCAATGTATAGTAAAAATGCGTGGATAAACATGTATTTTCCATGATATTTTAAATTTTAGTATAAGTATTTATACACTTATGCATCATAAAGATTAGTTATAAAGTCAATAATTTCAAAAGCACCAAAAAAAAGACTAAACAGTTAAAAAAAATAAGTAGTCACTAACACGTGATCATATAAAGTAGTGAGTAAAAATAAATCTGAAACAGTTCGCCAACAAAACATGGTTTATTTCGTTGTCATCCCAGAATCAATACTCACTTCTTCAGTCATTAACCACTAATTAAAGGAGTCGCAATGGTATTAAGACCATCTGGAAGAAATATATATTTGAATTCATTGTGCAATAACAGCAACAACGCTGTAAAACGCAATAAGACAGATTCCATCAAATTTCTTATAAACCAAAAAAAAAAAAAAAACTAATTTTATTTTTAAGCTAATAACTGTACTAGTAATCTAAGAAATCAATTGAAGGAATAATTTAAGACTTAGAACAAAAAATACTGGTGTCGAGAAAGATATTTGGAATGCACTTGCCCAATATAAGAAAATACGTTTATCTTATATTGCCTGATAAATGGTCAGTGATTTTATTTCTCTGCGAGTGATCCTTTCTTTAAGTTTATTAAGTTTGATAAATAAACTAAGCTATTTGTGCTCTGTTACAAACTCATTACTTCTTTGATTTGGAAACTGTGTTCAGTTTGATGATTTTGACATATAATCTAACAGACACTTAAATCGATGAAATTTCAAATAAGAGTGTAGTAGAAAAAGTTGCTACACTTTCAAAGAGTTTTAAAATGAAGTCTGAAACACGACAGAACTTTTGACTTTCCTAAGGAGCTTGGTTTGAAAAGATAGCAATTGCAAATATTTCCATATAGCACTTTGTCCATATGACAGTATAAAATATTATTTGTCATAAAGAACCATAAAAAAACATTTGTGCTGAACGAAGTGTTCAGTACAATTTTTATAGAATAGTCAGAAAAGGGAAGACGATAAGATCTGAATCTGATCGATGGTTTTCGACTTGCACACATTATCATTCCGATCGACATTGTGCGTAGAAAGTTTTTCATTTATATGATATACTCTCTCGCTATCTCTTTCAACACTTTAGAATAAAAAATTCTCTTTTTTTATTTTAAGAAAATAGTGAAACAGTTACGACTGTGCAAGATATATAGGAAACGAATGTGCAGCTGCAGGAAAAACTGCAGATCACAATTAATGAAGTAAAGGAATCTGTGTCAAAGTTATTTTTGCACTTTTATCAATTCAGCAACTCTGCGCTATTTTTGTTTTCTTTAAGTAATTTCAGAAGATAGAATCTGCTGAATAAGAAATGTTTATGCAATCCTTTTTTGATTTTTATTAGCAGCACCGATCTTTGGTTGTGATCTGATCAGATCTGATCCAGTCTGATTTAATATTATAGTAAATGTGAGATACAAATTATCACATGTAGCACTCAGCTGCAATTGTCTATATATTACTTTTTGCATTAACTGTGTAACTGAATAGTGATATAAGTGGCCTATCAAAAAGATTTTTTAAACATTTTTTTGACATTTTCTGCGTGAAGAAATCACATTTAATTTATATATAGAATGTTTCAAATTTTTGGATTCATGTAAAAACATGAAAAACGTATGTAATATTCCTGTTCACATAAAGAATCTGTAAAAGTGACATATCTTATTTCTGTACGATTATTATTCATTCATTCGCAATATTTGACCTTTTACGTCCGTTCTGAGTAAGTAAATGTTAGCATCTCATTTTATATCAGATTTACATCTATACCGGTTTAATGATGAAGATATATTTGTGAATTTGCAAGCACAAGATGAGTTTATAAAATGTTTTAGTGTGACTCTCGTAATGCAAAATTGTAAGTTTAATAACTTAATGTTCAAATCTCAGAAAATATGCACGTCAAAGATTAACAACTGAAACATTTTCTCCTGTCTTACAAAAAAAAAGATTTAATTTCTCAAGCTTATTGCATGACATGTTATGTGACAACTTATTACTATTGCTTCCATTCTGGACATGTAGATGTTATCACGAATCGTATACAGCATACAGCGAAATATAGTGCAAAATGAAGCGCTCAATTTCAATGTTGTCCACGAATTTTGATTAAAATGAAATTCTATGAACATTACCATTTCATATACAATAACGGAATATATTATGTACGTCTATCCTTCCGCAAATCTATAATTGTTTCCACGTAAACTCCACGCATGAATCATGGATGCTATAAAGTGATATGTTGAAAACCTACCACTTCCTTTTTTCGAGTAATACATTTTCATTGATTGTTAACTTTTCTTCCATCTTCTTTGATTCTCTGTTTGACTGCTAGCAGTTCTATAGGATTTTAAATGACCTCTTTATAAGTAACAGAAATCATAGAACACTGAAAAAAGAGCTTGATCAATTTCTCGTGACAGTTAATAAGTATAACTTACAGTGAGTACAAGATTGGAGCAGTATGGTTCAAAAACTCCATTCCAAAATCACTAGTATTGGATTGTATTTCTCATTATCTCATCTTTTTTTAATCTCAAAGAAGAATTTAAACTGTTACTACAACTTTTCAAGTTATTTTATGCCAATGAAGAAATAAAAAATTACTCATCCAATCATTCATTTGCAATACAGGTACATACATATATGAAGTAATTGCTTGCAAATTTTCTATTGTCATTTAATTAGCTAAGTTGAAAATTCTGCAATCACCCTTACTATCATTGCATTGATATATTGCATCTGATTTACTCGTTTATAGTTTATTTATTACTTACAGATTGTAATTAATCTAATTTGGAATGCATAGACTTCATATTCTAAACAATCACTCTGCAAGTACTAGTGTGCCAACACCTATAACTATGGTTCAACAGAAGGTAAAGCTGTTGATCAAATATTTCTAATCACTTGTCTGTATCACTTGCTCGAATATTAGTGTGACGACCTTCAAGCCCTCATTATCACTTTTCAGGGATACCAAAAAAGGCAGGTTTTTCAGTTACGTACTGAATCTATAAACAAGTTACAGGCTAAAAGAAGAATGGTCTTATATCATCGATACATCTCACATACATCAGGTAATTCTACAGCCTTAATATCGATCCTTTCAGTGATAATCGCTAAGCAGAATTTTCGGATTTGTGATTATATCAATATCCACTGACTACTGTTATTTATTTTTCTCAGTACGATTTTGCAGATCGCATTTCACATCCAATGGATGGGACCGATAAGGGAGGCTTTTTGAAAGAAATGAATAATTTCTCTCTTTATGAAAACAGTAATCATATAGTACTGCCAAAGAGAAAGCAAGAATCGAAACCGCTATTGCGGTGCTTTTATTGTGGTGAATGGTTCGACAGAAATGATAATACTTCTGGTTCTTGCAAGTAATTTGTTATTTGTATTTTTATAAATGTGCAGCAGCATCTATTCAACAGCAGATAAGGAAGTTCTCTACCGTAATTTTTTAAGACAACTATCTGAAAATAACAAATACGTGTGTTTACAGAGAAGCTCCTGATCCCATCGAGCGTACAATTCGTTTTCTGACATGCTATCCGATAGCGGAAGGTGCTGTATATCATTGCTGTAGGAGTGATGACGATATGCCTGCCAATATTAGTCGTTTTGGACAGGGATACGTTAGTTTTTGAAGAAAACAAATCGACTTTAATTTCCCTATAAAATTAAATAGCACTGTCATTTAAATCTAAATGAAATTTCGTTACTTTGAAAGTTTCCTGAAAATCATCTTAAATATTTGTTACCAAACACTATTCATTTAAGTCAGTATTATAGATTTCACTTAATTAGTTAAAATCAAGTTATTATAAAAATGCTTAGGACTGATAAGTTAATATCAATAGAAATTGCAGAATGTGTTCTCATTTGGATCACACCATATATCACTATTGAAACGTATGAAACGATGGCTATTTTTGGCGCTTATGTCGCTGGCAGTACCGTGTCTTTGTTGTTATTTCCCAGCTCATATGATAAACAAATGTTTCGGCGGTGGTAAACGAGGACGTCATCAGTCATATCATTTCACCTCTACTTTTGAAGGCTAAAACTCTACACTATTTACTTCAAATCCCAGTGCTGCTAGGAGATATTATTAACAATGGAGCGAAACATGAAATGACAATAAATAAATAAATCCATTGTGTGATATTTGAAGTAATTTTCAGAGTTTCGATCTGTGGGCTTAGAAGTAAAATTCTTGTTATAGGGAAAGGAATTAATTACGATGAAATTCTTTGTAATCAGTTCATTCGATCTGATCTGCACTATTTACTTTAAAGATCTTCTGAAACCCTAACTGAATTCATTAGTCTGAAATATTAATAAATTAAAAATTCATCATTCATCCAATTTTTCATATTGACAAAAAATAATCCCAGTAATTTGAATCAAATTTTGTTGACAGCGTCTTGAATTGAAAAAATCCTACAACGTTTAGTTTTAATTGCTCTAAGCGTTCGGTAAATTATAATCTACAACATTACCCAGCAACATAATACTATTGGCATTTAACAGTTCGTTAATTGGATGATTAAGAGAGATCCACTAAAGATAGGAGAAAGAGATAAAGCGTAGCAATGTTGGACAACATTCAAACCGTTTAACTTCAGACGGGCAACACGGTTTGAAACGTTGCCCATCAACGCATGGCTTATGTGGAAAGGAATCAAGCAAAGTAGAATCATTGATTCAGAAAGTGAAGAGAGTGTAGAAGTTAAAATATAAAGGTAATCATATCTATTTTTACTTTAGACTTTAGCATTTTACATTCCAAACGATTTAACTTCTATGCTAAGTTTCTGACTTTAAATGAAATGGCTGTTTACTTATGGCTAATTTTAAAATGGAATTTAGATAAGAATGTAGTGAGAAACAGTATATGAAAGAGTAATTCAGAAAAAATTTGAAAGGAATTTAAATCTCTTTAACATAAAATAGCTGCTCAGTTTTTTTTTGATTTAAATCAAATTATTCGTCAGTGACAAAATTCATTTTCGTGGCCTGACAACATCGGTCGTCGCTTACTTGACAGTCATACTAAAGTGGGAAAAGCAGATCAAGACGAAACCGATGTTCGAATGGATGACTCTCGATGATCAATGATTGAGTGTTACGCTATGAAAGAGCGCGACGAGAGCGGCCCATCTAGAATGAACGCGTGAGAAATCAGCTGTATGGAATCGGAGGTGAAATGGAATGGGAGTGAAAAGTTTAACAAAGCAGGCGAGCAGACATGCACTTGCACATGCACATAATTTGTTTGCTAAGCACTCGGCTATGCTAATATTTTCGTTCGTTTTCAGCTACAAAAACCGTAAAATTCATTTTGGAAAACATTTCAGAAGATGAATGTGGTGACAGTGGTAGTAGTATACTCATAATATCACTCATGCTTTTGTTTGAAGCCAGAGATCGCCAAAAATTCTGCAGACGACACATGCTGCTCACATTATCAAAACTTCATTCTATTTCTTCATTTCTGGACTCTTTTTTTCTGCTACCAAATACCTCAGAGAATCTGAGTTCAGAGATTAAAGTCGCACAGCGGAATTTCAAAATGAGTTCGAGTAATATAAAACAATAATACGCTAAATATTGGCAGTGGTACACAGGAATATTACAGGACAGAACGATCATTAAGCAAACAGTACAAAGTCGTGTATGTATCACCGACACATCCATTTCCCATTCTAATGCAAAATACCAATGCATACACTCGAAATGATTATGTTTCTCAGTACTGATATGACTAAGTAATACTGACAACAACAGCAATATGCATAAATATGTAGTAGTAAGTATTACCTTCATTTCAATAAACAAACAGAAAAAGGTACCAGAGTTTAGTTAGTACCATATATTGTTACTTTAGTTCTGATTATTGGCTCAATTTCTCTTCAAACCTCGAAATCCTAATTTGATTAAAAATCCCGATAAAATGCAGAAAAGATTAAAGAAAATAGTGATAGCAGTATGTGATAAAGCATCTATAACACAAATGCATCACTAGAAATGACGAGTTAGCTTCCAAAAGATTACAAAACAACACACATTCTCATCATTAAATTGACAATGCAATGAACATTTTTTTCAGCCCTAAAATGATAAGAATAAACAGTGACACCTCTCCTTTTTACTTTTCTTCTTTGTTTTTTTTCTTACTAATTTAATCGCTAATAGATTTTGAGATAGAAGAAAATCAAAAAAAAGTTATTCTAAAATTTAGACAAATAGGAATTTCATTATTTAATGAAAGAAAAACACATCTTCAAGGAGAAACATCTCTAGAATCTCTAGAAGTAACTGAAATACTTCTAGAATCTCTAGAAGTAACTGAAATAATCATCGTTTGAGAGAGTCAAATCTAAAAACTTAAGAATTGATATAAGGTAATAAAAAAGAGGAGAAAAAAGTATATATACGAATGAATTCAAATTTATGTCTATTTTCAAGCAGAGAGAAAGTTTCATGGAACAGTTTTTTTCGCATGCATCACATTTTTTTTTCCCTCCAGATGTTACTGCATGTACTGATAAGTTTCAATGCTAAGATAATACTGATTGTTCGCTTGTTTGAAGTATTCAACTCAGAACAAAATGTTATTGATTACCACAAAACTTATCACAGATAAAATTTTATTGAGTAGAATCAAATGTAATTCCCTCGAAATACCATAGTGATAGAACTGCTCACTTTTAATAATTAAGAAATAGTTTACATTTTATTTCTGTTATCATTTCCTAATCACACTGAATTTCTCTTCACGTAATGAAATGCCATCGAATGGCATTTCATCGATGGATTTGCCGTTGACAAGAAGACTGCTAAGAACTGATATCCCCTTTCATCATTTAGGAACTTATTAAAAGAAAAATTAGTTCCTCAATACTAAAACTATCAAAATTCATTGAATGATCTTCTGAAATGATTGACAATAGTGTTAAATGTATTGTGTACTGATCTAACACTATACTTCCTCAGATTACCGTTCCACTAGCATAAGAATTTGCAATTCGGATTAGGCAATGTTCAGGATAAAAGTTTTAAATAGGTTGTTTCCGGTAGGCAGGACAAAGATAGGATAGTTTCATATGCTCACAAAGTCATCCCAGAACTTAACTTAGTTCATCTTGGTCAGAAGAGAAAGCTGGGTAAGCACTTTGCATTACGGAGGATTTAAATCTGCACCCTTCCTTTAAACCTTAAACTGTAGTTATTCCAACGACACTCACAGACAATCAGAGCAGTTGAACCATTTTTATTTTCACGGTGACACCATCGCTAAGACAAGACAAGAGCTATGTGATTCTAAACCTCAGAGAAATGAAGAGACAGAGGCGGGGTAGTTTACCCTACCTCTATTACTGCGTTAGTATTCGTTTTTCGTTGCTTCTTGCTTAGCTTTTCATTCTAATACTTAGTATTCTAAATCGGTTTTGGAGAGAAAGAAGAAATGCAGCTGGGAAAAGCATAAAATCTCTCATTTTCTTCTTCAATTCTGCGGTAAATAACCATCGAGAGTGGAGGTCTACTGCAGTGATAATAACCCATCCTTTTTTCTCTTACCTTAAGTTAATTGTATTAGCTTACGGAAGAGTTAATTGTAATTTGAAGCAATTAATGTAGTCAGTATTGCTGAAGAATAAATGTGAAGATGCATTCACTTAGCATCGTATATCTCCAACCTTATGGATTCAGAACAAGTGCCATAAATTCAAGGAATGTATTGCATGCATTGATTGGTTGCTTCAAAGTTTTAAAATTTTAAAGCTGAGTAGAAGTCTGTAGATACATAAAAATATCAACCGCTATTTTTACGTATTTCTAATGAGTTTTAATGCTGCCGAATTATCCCATTGATACTTTGTCTTTACTTTTATCAGACTCCATCTTAATCTTATAAATAATATCTTTGATTACCTATTAAACTACATATTGTTGGCCTGTCATTCTCGTTCTTTAGCGGCCTAACAGCCTTGGAATTGCTTAAAATGTAAATAGTTTGAGAAAGGATCATTCATATTCCGATGTTACCCATCGGAATTTTATGTGACGTAGGAACATCCATAAACAGAAAAGTGAAGCATTATATGCAACGTTCTTACGTATTATTATTGCTTATATTATTTCATTTATGAACGTAACTTTTTCAGTAGGATTATGATTTCAGTAAATTTTGAGACTCGTTTTAGATGATTTTTTCTAAAGAAAAAACCAAGAATACAACAAAATCATTTTTCACCAGCAAGTGGAAACGTTATTCACTTTATGGCTTTATTGGTTCTGCAGGTAAAAATTTTGTTATTTATATTAATTTTTTTATTTTCCAACACATTCATTCGTGCGAAATAATAGGGAAAAATGAGACTTTCTTCGAATATTCTCCTACTGGATGATGTTATCATCTTTGCTTTGCTTTCTTCTGAATAAATTTTGTTCAATAAGATAAATATTTAACGCTTTAGTTTGGCACTACATATACTACACAATCGAGTTCAATGAAAATATTAGAAAACCAGAAGAGCGACGAGATATGACATATATTCAGTGGTTAAAGAAGCAATTCCCGGCATTGAGGCAATATGGTATCCCGTATAGGGAGAACTCAGTGGAAAAAAAATGATTATTAGATGTTGAAATTTAAAGGCTGCTGAAGTTCTGGGGTAGAGTCAATAAGAAGCTGTATAGTTTTGTAAAATAACTGAGATTATTCACTTTATTTTTGTCATTAGCGTGATGATATAGTGGAAAATATGATTCAGTTTAACATGGTAATAGAGTTCCGGTTGTTGAAGATTTCAGTAATCAGTGGATGCTAATTAAATTAAAGTTCTTAGAAGACATATAACTGATGGAATTTGTGCAGAGGTGGGCGAGAAAAAGCAAAGATTAGAGTATGTTTTTAACGTCTGTATATATAGAAGCCAAAAAACAAGTGCGTTACTTACGCGTTGTTTATATATTGAGGGCATTACTTATACGTTATACAAGACATGATTAGTAAACAATCATCTATCAGAACAAAGTGCTGCATATGCCAAGTCGGTTGTGACGTTAGTTTTTTGTAAAATTAGCATGTTTATATTTGGATGTATGCCCAGGGATGTAATCTCACAAGAGGACGGAACTTCGTAAATGAATTTCTGAGTTTGTGATCTCTGTGTTTCTGAAAATGGTAAGCAATATTTCTTAGACCGATCCATTTACCACAAGGAAATCAAAAAGCAAGTGCGTCATTTGTTCAAACATATATTTGTAGTGTTCACTTCGTGTTGAAATGCCACAGTAAAATTGCTAATCTGCTCTAGTTTCAAGAATTGCGTTTGGAACTATTTGCTTATGAAGCTAAATATTTTTAAAAGGTTTATTTATCTGTGAATGAAGTTTTCAAGTGCGATACAGTTTGAGAAAAAAGAAAAAGTGAATTTGAATATATTCATACTAGTAATTTGTGATACGACTCCGCGGACTTCTCAATCTGTTGTCGTTGCTCACGAACAATCCACAGTGATATGACCCAATACAGTGATGCCGAAATAAATATGGCTATCATCTGAGTAGTATATAAAGAGAGAGTACCACTAAACCAATACTGTAGTATGGCCGTCGTAATAAAGTAGGAAAGAAACATGAGACTAAAATTAAAGTTTAGCTAATAGAAATCACTGAATTTGGTCACTATTTACTTCAAGAGGTGGTTATAGAGAAATGTTAAAAGGATTTTTTCAATGTCGCGGATCAGGAGACTATTCAATTCTCGGAATTCTCTGCGCCAAGTGATCGGTAAACTTCCCTGAAGCATGTTCTATAGATGACGAAGTTTAATATTCACCTGATAACAGCCTGGAGTGAGCAGTAAATGATGAATGGAAGCATGAGATAAGGCTGTTTATTATGTATTCCTCTCAGGAGCATAATTACAATAGTAGTGCTGATAGAAGCAGATATTATTAGTGAGCCTGAAAGAAACAAATACAATTTTTGGTAACGGTAGAAAAATTTAATTAGAACTTAAGGTTGGAAAATACTAGACTGACTGTTTCATTTCATATTTTTTCATCATTAACCAAATTCCACCCAAACCTCTTAAACTTTCAATATTTCTTTTAACAAATTGCTCAATGTGATTGCCACAATTTATAAAGTCTTGAAATAACTGACCATAGTAAGCAATATTGCGGAGCGACTGATAGTGGCTATAATCCCAAACAGCCAAAGCCAACGCAGCAGAAGTGATATTAACTAATTGGAATATACCTGCTGTGATATTTGTCAAGAATTGTAGCTGCGTTTCCTCCATTCCTTTTCCTGTGCTTACGGATCAGAAATTCTCATTATGCCTTCATTTCATATCTCATGGATGAAAATTTTACGAACACGGCGATTTCAGTCATGTTAATTTCCTTGTTTCATTTTTTATGGATTCAGAATCAGTTTCATCACCTTTCCATCTCAGATTTGTGCAAGTAACAGCAAAATAAACAAATGATGATTAATTGAAAATAAGGAGGCGAAAAGAAGTGCGAAAAAAGGAAATGAGATTTTGAAGAAAGAAAGAAAATATAAAAGAAAGGAAGTGAAGTTCTTAAAATATCTTTTTAAAAAGAAAAGAAATAAGCAGAAATTGCACCGTTACATTACATTTTTCTAATTAAAGTTCTTATGCACTTCAACTTATATTACATATATCAAAAATTTTCAAGCATTGACACTTTGTCACAACTTATGATGAATAATGTTTATTCTGCTATATGTATATGTAATAATAATAATAATAAAATAACAATAATGATAAAAAGCAGCAAGTAGTAATGAATATAATAGTGATATGAGAATGCACAATTTAAGTATGATAAAATTTAAATAAAATGAGTAAAATCTACCAAAATAACAACATCATAAAAATGGTTCAACTCTGTCTCATACACTGTGAAAAGTAGAATCATAGGATTAAATGAAGTAAGTTAATAATTTCAGATAAAAAACAATAATGCCAAAGAATAAAAAAAGAGTTATGAAAAAATTTTGTGATTTCAAGCTGGATATATTAAAGTTAGGTATCCGAAAGGTCTCACCCTTCATTAGTGCCGTAATTTCGAATATTTCAGCATTCTATTTATCAGCGCAACTTTAAATTTGATTGACTAAATGTTAAAACATACTGCGGAAATCAAAATGAATGGCAAGTGGCATCATTGAGTTGAGTTATTCATTAATTTCATATAGAGAGGCATATAAGTAGAAGAAAAAGAAAATTGAAATTAACTGTGATATTTTCATATTGTTTCCTGTTCTTTCTTAATTAAACTTACTTCATTTTGATAACACTCATGCGATTATAAATAATCTAATCATCTGCTTTGTACATTGCTTCTAAGGAAATAAATTATTTCAAAAACACATAGATTTGCGCCTCGATAATGGGTGCTCAATTGGAACAGTTATATTCATCCAAATTTTAACCTTCAAAAATTGCGCGTAGGAATGAATTACTAACAGTAAAGCAAATATGTTTTGTAGAAATAATAAAGAGTAAAAGAATGAATAAAGCAAAAACATATAAATTTGCAATGAAATTTGATGGCAAATAGCAAAAAACACTTCCACTTTTGCACAAACAACTATGATTAAAATTTCAATATTTAATATTAGTAAGAGTAAAGAGAAGGAGAGCCTTCTCTTATAATCGCTTTCACACAACTAATCGAAAATATGAATATATGAAAAGCTACTCGAGAAGATGAGAATAAAAACAGAAAGCTCAAGAAGTAATATTAAAAAAATTTTGGGTTCATTTTTTGCTAAAATCTTATTTTTTCTTTTATCAGCCATAATCAGATTAACCGATACACACAATAAATGATAGTATTCACACATTTACATAAGTCAAAAACTGAAAGATTCAGTAAAAGATCTACCGGATAATAAAGAACCACTACCAAGTGAATAATAAGCAGAATGATCTGAAACTAACTATATATGCTTGATATTATTTTAAAAACAAAGATGAAAATAAACTTTCTGACAATTTAGTTTTCTATTTATGTCGCTTGATTTGTTCTATTTAATTTAACTATGAGTATTAAGGAAAAAAATTTGATTTTTAGCGGAAAATAAACGGACAAATTTTTTATTCATATTTTCGATTAGTTGTGTGAAAGCGATTAAAAAGAAGGCTTTCCTCCTCTTTACTCTTAGTAATATTAAATATTGAAATATTAATCATAATTTGTGCAAAAGTAGAAATGGTTTTTTGCTATTTGCCATCAAATTTCATTGCAAATTTGTATATTTTTGCTTTATTCATTCTTTTACTCTTTATTATTTCTACAAAACATATTTGCTTTACTGTTAATTTATTCCTTTTTTGAAGGTTAAAATTTGAATGAATATAACTACTTCAGCTTTTGAAACAATTTATTAAAACTTGCATGTACATTAGCGTTTTACATATATATCCGAGCTGATTTGTCACTCAGTGCTTTTCTTTTTAACACTGTTTTGCCTCAAATTTTTTACTTCCTAACTGTTTAACTTCTCACTTACCTTTTGCTCTCTTAACCGAAAGGCAAAAATTCCATCGATTGAAAATTACTTTGCTTTTCGACAGTAGTTAGCAATTCATATTCGTAGATTTTTTCCTAAAAATTCGATTCATTTCAAATTCAAAACATGGTGTCCTTAAAAAAGCTTTAAATGCACTACGCTAAAGTTATAATGGAATTGTTACTGCTTTCCTCTTCAAATTTGATTTAGTATATTCAAGTAATTTTCACCTTATTAAAAAAGGATTCATTTAAATATTACATTCAAATAATTGGATTGGATCCGACAGGAGTTTTTTTCTTTTTCTTTTTTTTTTTTTTGCTGTTTTTCTTGTTTACATTGCATTTATTGAGAAACAAAAAGTGAGGGAAAGAATGTTTTGTTTTTATTCTGCTGAAACAAAAGCGAATTAAATTTCGGATTTTTGGTCTCGTTTGTCTTCTTTGCAAGCGATAAGCTTTTTTACATTTCAAACTGAAAGTTTTCAAAAATAAAAGCAATTAATACTATTTTGATAAAAACTTAGAAAATTTTTTTGTTTGCTAAATTCTTCACTTCTGGTTTCTAATTTTTAATTTAGGTATTGTCATAAAAATTGACCAGGAATTTGATTATTAACTTAATCAATAATAAATGCTGAAATGTCAAATTACTAAAGGAATTATGAAATTTATTTATTTATTCTGAATATTAAAAGAAGTAATATTTCAAATAAAGTATCTTCTACTGGATTGTATCTTTTAATTTACCAATTAGCTCAGTTAGCGATAAACTGCTGTATATTATACAGCAATGATTGTGACACTTTAAAATTTAAAATTTTAGTATTGCTTATTAAACAAGGTCTGATTTGACATAAAGATCTATCAAAGAAAAAACATAGGATAATACAATAAGGGCAGAAGTTACATTTGGAGCTATCAATTCTTAGATTTATCCAGCTGATGTTGATTTTAATAAAATGAAACCGAACTGATAAACTGATTATTTAAAAAAAAACAGCTTAAGAATCTGATGGTTGTCATCAGTGAAGAAAATTTAATGAGAATTCCAATGATCAAATCAGCAGTGATTTGCCATCACAAACAAAACAATATCGATCGAAACGATTCTGCCTTGTAATGACAATTGCACTTGTTCAGATGCAAGAGATAACAGGAAGAGTAAGTAAATATTCTAGATGATCTGAAATGTACAGATGTATGATTGGTCACTAACTGGTCACTAAGGCTATCCTTTTCTCACAAGTACTTAGCAAAAGTGACAAGGACGATAAAAGGAAGAAATTTTTGTGCAACTTTCACTTAATTACATCTTCTATTTAGCTGCAACCATCAGTTTTATAGAAAAAAATTTTTCTTGAAAAACGATAACTGACCAATTAAGAAGGAAATTTAGAGCGGAAATTTTAATAGTTTAGTGATATAGACTATTCTAAGTAACCAGATTGATAGAATGAATGATCAATTGTAATGGTATTGGATGTCACACTCAGAAACGATCAATGAGATGAATCACTCACTCACTCCTTACGGAGAATCCAACTATACCGGACGGACGTTTCATCATGCGGATGGATACTTCGTAATATGCGGTGTAGCTGAAATGGTTTCATTAGTGTGCTAGTCACTTCCCTCAGGTATTTTTCGCTTCCTGTTTTAGGCATTTAACATTACAACGTCCGTTTAGTCTTCTTGACCATAAATTATTTCTTTTTCTATAAAACAGAAAATATTCAGAAATTCATATCCAACAACAACAAATCTTAGTCTGATCACATCGTTAATATCAGTCTATGACTTAAAACATCCAAATATTGATTATTCTATTAAGGTAAAGCGAAGTTTTTCTTGGAGACATGTTATTTCGACTTTCTCATTTAAGTTCTGAGCGGAATTAAATGCCAACTTCGATAGTAATGACTAACGACATAAATAATAAATTTTAAAAAATGATATGATCCATGAGTGTTTTAGTTAAAATGAAAAAACGCAGAGTTTATGATAAATAAAGAATTAAATAATGCATTAAAAGCTCATTATTATTCAGTCGCTTAGAGTTTGATACAAAAGGCAAAAGATATTAAGTATGATTAGTTTTTGTTTTAATTAGCACTGATAAATGTTAATAGCAATTTGCCGTGAAGAGTTGATGGAAGTGGGAAGATGGGTGGGAGATAAAACTTGACGTGCCTTACTTACTGTTGTGAAAGTAGTTCACAGTAAATAACTCGGAGCAGTTGTAAGTATTAATCTTCTCTTCTTTCGTATATTAGTTATCAATGTGCTATTAAAACCATATATGTACATTACTTTGGTTGACTAAAAACGATAAATTATAACTTATTCTTTGTAATTACGACCCATTTCAATTTTTCTTTTCTATGACAATATTTTCAGAGAGTTTAGCTTTGCAAAAATATATTAGACACGGGTGATTCCGGTTATCAAATTCTAAATTTTATTGAATTTCTTAAATTTCGGCGTTTGAACATTGTATTTTGAAAAAATGACCAGCAAAGTTTCTAGATTATTTGATTATTTTGCAGAATAGTGTGATTAGTTTGAATGCAACAAGTGAGAAAATTGAAGGTAGACATATAGGCAACATGTATGGCTTAAAGATTTAATAACTGCTAATTTTGATTAGCAGATTTAGCTGAGAATTTATATAGAGAGGTTGTCAAGGTATAACTTCTGCTAGCAATTGTAATATGAGCTCCTCGCTTAGGTGTATAATTCTTTTTTACTATGTTGTAACAATTTTGTTAGTAGCGTATCAAACCGATCGTTAGCTTTCTGCTCTCAACCATCTTTCAAATCACTATTCCCACTTTAGTTGTTCAGCTGTTAGTGGATGGAATTAAACCAATGTTAAAAGGATTGTTTGCTTTTTATTAAATTTTTTCTTCTTTAAATGTCAAAATTCTTCAAACTTGCGGTGTTAAACTATTATCCTTCATGTTATTTTTATTTGGAATTTTTTTGTTGTTCTGAAAATGATTGGTAGCCATAAGTTATTGGAAAAATAAAATAAAGTTTAAGTAATATTTTTTGTCAAGATAAGTATTAGTCTGAAATCTTCTCCTACAGCAACGTCAGTGAATATCAAATGAAATGGACGGGATAAAATTTATAAAAAAATCCATAGAATGTATTAACTAATTGACAGAGTGATTTGTTTTCTCATGCGAAGAGGGCTAATCTAATCATTTCATTTCAAACCATTCAGTCTTTACATATTATTTAATATTTATTAGTTTTCAATTAAATTTCATCAGCGACTATTCATCCAACGAACATTATACTTTTCCGAAAATATTGTACATAATCATTTTTTTTTTTAATAAATTGCACCTAACAAGTTAATGGAACAATAATATCAGTAACTAATAACAAAAAAAAAAAAAAAAAATAGCTAATTAATCAATGAATTTGAATTGATTTTAAATGTACTTGAAAATATTTTAATTAGATTATCAAAAGATGTCGCTAAAAAACAGCAAGAAATGGTCATTTCTCTCCTGTTAAAGTGTAGGATATGCTGTTGTCCACATAGATATGTTCGTTAAGAAATTGAAATTCAGTTTCATCTCTTTTGTTTTCCACTCAATTCCACCGCTTTTTGTCACTGTAAGTATGCTTCTGTCACGTGAGTGCTAATTAAACATAACTAAGTATTTTCATCTCTTTAGTTGCACTTTCTCATCTTAATATTCTCTTATACCTTACAAAGTAGAGATGAAGCCAGAGAGTTGAGATAAACCATTGAAATATGAAGTGAAATTTAGCATCTAACATTAATCTCATTCATTAAAAGAAGGGAATCATATATTCAGTTATTCATTCCTGCAGTTTTCGTTTCATTTTATTTGAAAATTCATTAAATGAATTTATTCAATGATGAGATGATCATAACATCACTTTTTTTTCTTTATCATAAATAATTTTTTTGAAAGACATTTCTCCTAAAGCAATATTTATACAAAAACATACCAGTAGAAGTAATATACCGATGTACAGAAAGCATTTGGTAGGAAACGATGATATATACGTGGAAGGTAACATAAACAACATTTACCGGACGAAACTGAAATTCTTGAGGTGCCGTAGAGAGAAGTACATCTGCACTTTGTATGAAGAAATTATCTTTTCTCACCTCTATTTACATCGTTTATTGAGCATTTTCGAGCACAGTTAATAATCGATTGCTGATTTTTCTTTGGTATTATCAAAATACATTTAAGAATTTTTTATACGGAAGATAATATGGCACTATTGATCAGTTTAATAATTTTCTAATTAGATAGGAGAATCGAATTTATTCTTGTCGATATATTTTCCAGTTAGAGTTTTGCTTCTCTATTCCATCACTTGTTCATAAGCTAGGTAAATTTTAATTTTACGGTCTTTCCAAACTGTTTGCCACCTCAAAATTAAATCGGAGTTCCATTTACTCAGTGAATTCTAAAACGTTAATTTCAGCACCTTGGAAATATGAATAACTGATAGAGTAACAATGCAACTGATACTGATTGTACGGATAGTTTTGTAGATTTGAGGAAAGCCTTTTTTGAAGAACCGATTAAGTGGTATGCAAGGTTTGTAAATTAAAAGTATTTTGCATTTCTTCCTTAGAAGTTATCAAATTATCAATTTTCTGACACTATTAAAAAGGATGTATTCAAGGTAGCACATGGTTGGGTGATATCTTAAAAAGTGTAAACGAATCAATCTAATCTATTCATTTATCTTTAACTTGCACTTTGTGCCATTCCTTATCTTTATCAGTATCACGAAATATTTTTGGGATTTTCATTCAAACTTTTATGAAAGAGTTTAGTTGGTTTTATTGGGAACACTAGGAAATATGATTTTTGGGAAGATTTAAGCGAATATTGGCGTCACTTTTCCAAATATTTCTCAATTCCATCTGCAAAATTCAGACAGATGATCAGAAAGTTCCTAATCTTTTGATTTTACCTCTGTTGACTTCTTAAAATTTATTTTTTATATTTGATAACTATTTTCTACACGCACTATATTTTCTAGAACTGCAAGCTGAAACACTATTTCATTCCAGTCGTATGATTTGTGTGACTTTTGATGCGAGATTAAAGCTTAACACTATTTCAATTTTACCACTTGTTTTTGTCATATGATGATTGATCTGGATTACTTTGAACGATGAAACAATGATTACTCATATTATTTGTGTTACAACAGTTGTATTAATTGAAAATAGTGAATTTGTTGCTAAAATTCTTTGTGAACAAAGAAGGTAATTATACTCAAATTTAAAGTAAGCTTCGGAAAAGTTTCAGGTATGCTTGTAAACTCAAGTCGGAGACAAAGTGTCGATCAAACGATAGTACATTTCAGCAGAACATCGACTTTCGGGCAGTTGCTTGACTCACTTCGTAATGCTGCCAGCCAAATGGGAATATGGAATGATGAGATGCATCGCGATCTGCCGAAACGGTGGGAAAAACACGGGAACATGATTATCCTACCGCATAATTGTTTTAAACATCCGAATTGGAGGTTAATGGGTATGTTTAAATAATAGTCTCGTTCTTTGTTCTAACTTCCTCCTTTTCTTCTCTCCATATCTAAATTTTGAAATAGATCTTTGGAACTAAATTTATTAAATATCACTACAAACATAAAAAATCAACTTAAAATTATCTTATAAAGACATATTATTTAGCTTCAATTTTATGAATACTTTATTTTTATTCCTTCATTCCTGTAATTAGCATAATTTCATCTGAATTTTTTTCAATACTGAAGTGAATTCAGGACAATGTGAGGTTTAATTTTTGTTTAAACGAAAGCATAATTTCAAAATCTACATATGCATCAGGCCCAAAATTGTGGGAGATGGTAACAGAATTACTTAATACGAGGCGTCTGGGAAAAAAGCGTGTTATTGAAGGAGATGAGTTTCATGAGCCTCACATAGATCTCTTATATGGAAAGGACGGATGGGTGGAACACATCGATGGCGATATAAGGTACTGTATATTTCAATGATTGAAGTTTCAAAAACAGCAGTTGATAATCTAGTTAAGTGATACAACAGTGATAAGCGGAAGATTTAACCTTGGCTCTTGTTTGCGGTGTTGCAAGGCATCAGAAAGTCATTTTTACGAACTTTTGATTGAGAAAACTAGACAAACATATTTCACAGAAAACCAAAACTTTACAGATTCCTTTACGACGTCACAAAATGTTTCTTTAATGTCAACAATGCCTCAGAGAAGCAGCGCATCTCAGAATTTGACTGCCATCAAGAAGTTGTCACCGATATGTTTGCTGGTACAGCTAGATATTTCCGGAACCAAAAATTAAAAATTTGCTGATTATTTTCTGAAATGAGCATTCCCGGTTACAGGAATCGGATATTATACATTGCCTTATTTGATAAGTGCACATGCAAAACATGTCTACGCTATCGACTGGAATGAAGATGCCATTGAGGCATTAAAGCGCAGTTTGCAAATTAACTGTGTCCAAGATCGCTGCACAGTCATTCAGGGCGATTCCAGAAAGGTAGTGTTTGAAAAGTTATAATATATCGAACAGATATATAATAACAGTATTCAACATGCTTCATTCCCTAATAATTGTTTGGCAAACTAACAAACTCCAATTCGTTTAGAAAACAATCCTTCACAGACAATACCATAGCAAAATAATACTTAATCCATAACTTCATAGTTTTTCCCTCTTTTTATCTTCCCAGATCACCGCTAAGATCATCAGAACCTGAGCTTTTGATGCACTCAGTATTATTGAAATCTAGATATAGCGTCAAATACTATCATTGTCAGAACTGCTGTAAATCCAGATGCTTGAGGGACTTCGCCTAATTCAGAGATATCCTATAATGCTTTGAATCGGAAAGCAGTTTTTAACACGACAAGAATTCCTGCAAATATTAACATCGCTTCTTTATAATAAAGGTTACCATTACCTGTTACCGTAGGTAACACCGCAAGGTGTAGCAGATCGCGTAAACATTGGATTATTACCATCGTCACGACCATACTGGCTCGCTGCTTGTAAATGTTTGAAATCAACAGGTGGAATACTTCATATACATGAAGCAATTAGGACATCAGAACAGCAGAGCGGCAGCTTGGAGCCCAGTAATAAACCGGCCGCATACTCCAAACTTATAAAGTATTGAAAATTATTGAAATTCTCGTGTATGAAAATTTTGCACATTCTCTTATATTGGAACCTAAATTTTCATTCATTCAAAAAGATTTAGAAACTGCTTAAACCGAAATCATTATGGTCATACATTGCACCATAAGGAAAATCCAATATGGAAACCAATAATGTTATTGATTATTCATCACTTAAAGACATATTACTCACCACATAAGGCTCGTAGAATATCTGTTGAAATTAGTCTTTCTACAGTTCGAATTAACAATTCAAAAAACTTTCTTATTCAAATACTTCTTACAGAAATGAAAATGCGACATCCATGAGCGAAGAAATTGCATTACATGAACTTACCGACACTACAAATATCTGTGGCGAAAACAGAACTGCAATGGAAAAGAACGATAAAAATAAAATCTTTTTTAGCAAATCAATAGATAATAGTGCTATTCAATGTGAAGGTTTGGTTCTGATTAAAATTTGCCAAGTAATTTTCCTAGTAAAATTTCCTTGAATCAAATGGAGCTAAAGCATCTTTTTTCAAACTTGATATAAAAAAGTCCTGAGTTTTCCAGTTGAAAATTTTCTAGAAACAAATACCGCAAAACATGACGGCACAGTGAAAAAAAGGAAATTTAGTCGTTCAGCAACTATTATCAAAGAAATGGAAAGTCGTATCTTGCCAAATGGACAAATTGATGATCGCTTCAAAGAGGAGAAGTGGTCAACGATCAGTCACATTTTGCAAAACTTTGCCATGACCTGCGCTACGAAGTAATTTTCAGTTCTAAAAAACCTTACTTACAAATCCATTTGAATCTTTGGTATGGAACTCTTGAAATCATTCTAACAAGAACACGGAGGGTATAATCATAAACATAAAATACGAATATCACCTTTTTTGAAGTTATCAAGCACTTATACTTTTTCTCATCAGGTATTAGTCGGTGATAGATGTATAATTTGAAGCTTGTTCCCATTTGAAATCGACTGAAATTATATCGTTCGAGCCTAAGCAAACTAGAAATTACCTAAACTACCCGTGAAAAAACTATTTTGTTGATGGGAAATGTTTAATTGTGTCACAACTTTCTAATTTCAGTTGCACTCAGTACCTGAATAACATCCATGATGAGAAGGATAAAGTTTGGACATGTACAATACTAGAAGTGAACACAGTGAAAAGTTACCATATGCAAACAGATCATATTGTTGTGGATTTGTTGTGCAGACCGGAAGATGAGAAAGTGAAACACAATGAACTTCAGACTCAAGGTGAATACGGATAATTCCTATGTCTGTTGTCGTAGTATCATTAAAACATGTATCTTATTGAGCATGAATCAATAAACAGGTGTTATCAAATTTGCTGCTTCTGAAAGAAATACCGACCTTCCAAAACCTGGATCGGAAAAGAAAAGGGAAATAAGTTACTTACATTGTTAAAGAAAATAAATTGTCCATATTGTGCAATATTTTGAAACTTAAAAAAATATTTCGACTTCAAGCTAAAGTAACCAATCGAGGACTCGCCTCTCTTACCTGTTCAAAATTTAAGAATATCGTGAGTTTTCGTCCTGAAACCTCACAAAAAAAAAAAAAAAAAAATAGCTGTAGATAAACCCATTCATTGTTCAAAAAGCAATATCTACAACAGGAAAATAGTTGTTCAGGATTTCTCAAACATTTTGAGTTTTAAAAAAAAGATGCACCTTCATGAAAGCAGCAAATTTGATATTAAAATAAGACAGCGAATTCCAAAAATTGAAACAGAAACCAAAAAAAAAACCATAAATGCGATAACATGCAATGTGGAAAGACAAGCAGTAAAAAAATTACAAGACTATTGGAAACTGAGGAAGCATATGTAAGTAATGAATGAAGCTGTACACCGAAAAAAAAGAAGAAGAATCAAAACAGAGATAAATGTAAGAACACTCAAAAAACATTTATAAAATTTATGGGAAATAGAAAATGATCAAACTTATCGCCCACGAGAGATACTACGATTTACTGTAACGCGTCTTGTACGGTGCGACCGGTCTTTTGCATCTCCTACAAAACGAAAACAAAGACAGAACGAAATACATATATCTAGCAATTCCTTTACACTACAATAAAGTTACTGAACATTAGAGAGAAAAGCATAGTAAATTATAAATCGTGAAAGGCTGCAATTTTCTGAATACTGAGAGACTGAATATTGAAAGCCTGAATCCCTTATACTCCTCTGCAGCCGTTTCATGAAGTAAAAATGAAATTTGTAATAATGCACAGGAAAGTGTAGAGGTAAGAAATACCTTCCGCCCTTCTATTCTTGTTAAATCGGTTTCGTCCTTTCTTAGTAACACTAACACCATCAGAACGCACACAGTTTCCTTTTAAGCGATTTGATGCTAAAACATACTGATTTTCAAATTATGCAAAACGATAACACTTATATTTATGTTCTGTCAGTTAAATTTGCAGAAAGAATTACTTTCTGGGGACATACTACTTTCACTTTCCTCCATCTCTCTCTTAACATTTGTTTCTTCGTCAACTAACCGGATAATATCCTCTTCCGCTTGTTCCTCTACTGCTGCAAATAAACACAAAAAAAGTAATAAATGAAAAGAGATATTACGATAAACCTGTTTGTTTAATGAAAACAATTGGAAGCTGTATAGTTTCGATTTTAATAAAAAAAAAAGTTTTTGTTTAGGACATGAAAAGGTGTGCTTCTTCAAAGAGTTATTTAAAAAATAATAACCACCAGGTGCTAACCGACTGTTATTGAAGCATATCGACTGGTAGAAAATGGTTCACCAGTAGCCGAACTATCTGTGGTTGCAAGTGATAATAATCCGACACGCGCTCTGTAAAAGTCTTTAACTTTTCTTTCAAAGTATCATGAAGATCCACTTGAGGTGCTTATCAATTTAAATCTCATGAAATACTAACTTGTCTAGTGCTCCATTTCCTAATCTTGAAGCCTGACGTTGCACCGAACGTCCCATATTGTCCAGCATATTATCAATGTCATGTTCATACGCTGTTAGTAGTGGAGCGATTAACTGAAATAGCTTATGAAAACGAAAGTAGGTAAAAACACTGTGTGATATAATTAACAGATTACAAGTGAATATTATTACTCCCTCTCTTTCAGTCTCTTTGCTTTTTCTCAATCGGTCTTTCATTCTGAGAACTACCGTCACTGGAAACAAGAATGCTTCAGACAAAACGTTTCTGAACTGTATGTAAATACAAGATCTTTAACAGCTCAACGGACTATTTTACTTTTTGATGAACAATTGATGCACCATCCGTCCATGGAGATGCTGCCCAAAGAAGGAAGCTCATCTTCATCACCAAATAACCAGGAATAATGTATGGCAATAAGAGTACATCACCAATAGTATCAGCTGCTAGAAAGCCTGCGTAAACTGTCCAGTACTTCAACCATCGCTTCTGAAACAATTCCAACTGTTTTTCCTAATTGGAATGCAATGTAAGAAATACTAAGAAAATGTAAAAAATAAAGGAACTGTAACCATTTGCAAAAAATCGCCTTCACGAATAACTTTGAAAGTTTTAAAGGCCGGATAAAGTGCTCCAATCAAAACAGACGCAGCATGTGAAAATAACTGAAGAACCATCTGAAAGAAAAATCGTCCAATATCAGAGATGGATGTTACATTATGAAGGATGAGCTCCTTTTAACGCAATGAGCTGATCATCCCTAAACATTATATATGTCGAAAGAGTTCCACGCCTATTTAATAAGACGAAATAGAGAATCCGGAATGATTCAAATGAAGAGATAACCATCTGTACATTCGAATGGTCCAGCGATAACCTCAATGGATTGCTTTGACCTGACCAGTCAGAACTTTATATTCCACTTTTAGCATAATCGACAGCAGTCTGCAAAATTTTACTTTTCCTTGGCATTAACATCAACGTTAAAACGGAAAATTAAACATCTCTTCAATGGCTACTACCTATCAATGCATCACTGTTCAAGCCAATCAACAACTATCCAGTCTATCTGCATTTGCATCAGTTGACTACTTCTAGGCTTTCTTTTTATAGGCCATACTAGGCTTATATGTACCTACCCATCCTAGGCTCTCTATACTAAATCATAGACGCCTCTCCCCGCCTAAATTGCACTCGCATGGATTACATTTCGCAGCAACAAAACTTTATATTCTTACGTAGATTGCACGGTTTATAGTCGTGTTGCGAAAAGCCAGTGGGTAACACTGGTCTCAATAAGATGGGTGAGATGGGGAAGATTGGTGGGTAAGTGTGGGAAGATGGCTTATGTCTTCTATATCTAACTAATTAATCTTCCAAAAACTGCAACAGAAACTGTAACCTTCTATGGGAATTAAATTTCTTAATTGCTCTTAACAAATATGTTGGCATTGCAGGAAAGACAATCATGACTTGCAACGGACCGCAGCAATACTTTACAGGTGAAAATGTCGACATGGGAGTAAGATACACTTTTATATTTTTATTTTTATCCCATCTCAGTCTTTCTTATTTATAGAACATTTCTATTTCATTCCAACACTAAAACAGATAGGAATAATCCGCTTCCAATGGCTATCGTTAGTTTGAGAATATTATGTCACAGTTTTGTTATTATTAGTATAAGGAAAAAGAAGCTTAGATTGAATATCTTAGATTGACGTATTTTAATATCGTTCAAATTATTGCACCTAAATATCTTTACTTGCAGACAACTCTCATTGCAATGGAATTCGATAGTGGAGTTGTGGTTGGGACAGACTCGAGAACAAGTTCTGGGTATATTATCATGTCTTAGCGTTTATCGTTTTATCCTGAGCTGCAGTTCATTTAGGCTGATGTAATTCTCTTCTTTTTAAAATTTCTATGGTGTAATTTTTGAAATGATGAGTGTACTGTTTTTAGGAGTTACATATCATCGCGCGCCACAGATAAAATTACACCTGTTACGGATCGTATGGTAGTTTGTCGTTCGGGCTCTGCTGCGGATACACAAGCCATTTCTGATATTGTAAAGTATTATATTGAAGTTTATTCGTAAGTTTTAATCGTTCTGCTTTTAATAGAGCCTTTGTTTTGGGAAATTTCTCTCTCAGGTTTGGACTTGAGGCAACTTACTTTTTTGACAGAATGATGGAAGAAGAAGAAGTTACTGTTGGACGCTCTGCTCAGATATTTCGAAATTTTCTGTACAAATATCGTGACTCTTTATCAGCATCGGTTCTGGTTGCTGGCTACGATGATATTGAAGGTGGACAGGTCAGTTGCCAATTATTAAGACTAAAATTTTGTCATATCTCCTGTTACTTTTAATATTTTTTAAAATCAAATTAGCTATGTTATAGCTTTCTATTATTTTTAAAAAATATTTTAGTTGTATGCAATTCCAATGGGTGGTTACGTAACTCGACAGCGGTGCGCAGCGAGTGGTAGGGGTAGTACATTCGTACAAGGTTTTCTAGATAGTCAGTGGAAGGTAAGTATGTGATACTTTTCTATGAAAGAAACAATTATGTGAGCTGTGTTTTTGCATCTTTTTATTTATCCTTATGATTCGAAAATAATCGAAAAGACACAAATGCATAGTAGAACATTTGTAGCCAGGAATGACTGCTGAAAAATGCAAAGAATTAGTACTCAATGCAGTAGCTTTGGCAACAATCCGTGATGGTTCTTCTGGTGGTGTTATTAGACTAGCTGTTATCGACAAAACAGGCACAAAAAGAACGGTTAGTTATTTGATTCTCGAAGTTTTATTAAAAATGTATCAAGAAAATGTTATCTTTCAATTCCTCCATTCAATGTATTTTCATTTAATTAACGTATTATAATTTGAGTTTGAAGTGTAAGAGTTAAATTTCCCAGATGCTTTTCATCGGAGAGAATGTATTGATTCTAACTGTGTGAAGCATCCGTTTTTTTTGAATGGAACATTGATTTTCTGCAATTAGGATGAAGTTTTGAATGTCTATCCTCCATCCTGTGATTGCTTACTGATATAAATTCAACATTATACATTTTTTTTTTTAATTTCAGCTTATTCGACCGGATGGGAATCAGTTTCCGAAATTTGCTGTTATACCAGCACATTTAACATACCCGAAACACATTATTCAGTGATTATTTTTTGGTATTACATATGTTTTGATAGAAATGTGTTACACAGTCTTTGGTTCCAACTATTCCGCAGTATATAAATTACAGAGCGCATGAATTTTCATATTAAAAGAACTTTTTTCACGCACATTCTTTTATAAAAAAATTTTTTGAAGAAAAAGCATTTATATCAAACTTTGATTTAGTTACTTTGTGTCCTTTTTGGTCCATTTCTTGTAACACTGTTGATTTCAATTACAATCTTATGAAAATGTTTTCTATTAAAAGATTTATATTAAATGGGGAAGGAAACATGTGTATGTCTCCAAATATTTCTCAACAATTTGAAAAAGTTTCTTTTTTTCGAATTGTTGCTTTGATTTGCATATTGTTAGCATCTGAGAATTCTCTTACCTTCGGAATCAGTTCTACCTGAAGGCGGTTGTTCAAATGGGAATAATGTACTCAGTTATGGTTGTCTTAATGATCATTTTTGGTGGAGAAAGTCTTGTAAGTCCCATCACTTATGTATATTTTGGGTTAATGAAGGTTCGAGCTTATCTTTCATTATCATATCAAATTTTGGAGCCGAAAAATCCTGAGGCGTGATTATTCGACTGGGTTCATCTGCACAATGCTCCTGTATAGAGTCCATCATATATGTGTAAGGATTACTATCTCTTGTATCTTGAAAAAAATAGTGCGGTCGGATTTTACATGCATGAGAACTGCAGTTGGATGAAGAGAATGTAGTACCAGATTTGGCACCTCATATTGATAATCCGATGGAGTTTGAATTCATTGAAGATGTCCATAAGAAGCAGTATTTGAAATCATTGTTTGTGGAGTCCTTTTATGAACCGAACTGTGATAATAAGCCGAATGTTTCCGTATGCTCGTCAATGATTTCTTAAAAAACTAGGAGTCGTTTTGCGTAATTTGTTTTTGAATAAAAATTATTTGTAACATTTCAAGGCAAAATAACTTTAGCTGATTGTTGTGCTGATAATTTAGTATATATCATATTACTCATTAATAGGTGCTGTATAAGTCATTCATTTTGTTGAGTAATTGTAGCTCCACTGATAGCATGCGCTATGAGCTCTTCATGGTTTTTTGTAGATCAAGCCGATTTACTTTTGGCCTGGTCAGCGTATTGACCTTCGATGTGTAATGTGTCGTCGAGCGTTTACTTTTAATGGGTTAATAAAGCACTGGTGGTTTATGCCAGCGAAGGACGTTGAGGATGCACTGGGAGATATGAAAGTTTAATTTTTTTGTTTGAGACTTAGCTTAAGATGATGATAATTTAACTAAGTAATTTTCATTTGTCGAAACAACTAACTAAATCATTGTTGTTAGATTGATATGAAACCCGCCTTGCTTGACACTTAATTCATGCTTAATTAATTATTTTTTCATTTATCTTTCATCTACTCCATTTTTTTCTTTTTTGTTCTATATTTTTTTATGCGAGTTTTTATTCTGATCATCGACGACGAATGTCTCAAATTGTGAAATGTCTTACATAGGAAGTTAATTTTAGCAAAATAGAAATTAATTAGATATTATTAATTATTAATATTATTTATACATCACTTCTGATCAGTTTGTGTTTGAATATTTCAAATTACGAGTGATAATTGTTGTAATAAAATTATATTTAGAACCTAAAAAATTCACCTAAGTGGAATCAGCATTTGCTGACGTTAAGTGCCGATTATGGGGAGAACAGATGGCGTGATTTTGGCGCAATGCCTAGCGACTTCGGAACTGGGACAAATCCACGATCACAGACCATACTCATACAGAGAAGAGGGATGCTAATCTTGTTACAGGTATGTTTGCTATTCAATGATTCTTCAGCTGTTTATACTGCAGTCTTATGTTAAGTCTTGTAGTTGAAATGATAAGATATACAGTATATGAAATTAAAATGATAAGATATACAGTATACGCCGTATGAACTCTAAATTTTCATGCCATAGCTAGAGTAGAATTTTGTTTTAGTTTTTTTTTTTTTACCTGGCAGGTTCTTTTGTTGTCGTCACACATAAATAGTTGTACTGGGTTCGAAAACATGATACTCCTTTCTATGATACTCCCAATTTTCATTCCCATTGCTCAGTAAATTTATTGAGATTTTTAACGAGTGCAACCTTATATCTAAATTTGCTGCTATGGCTTTTTTTAATAGCGCAATATTTGATTGTTTAAATAAAATATTTTGAACTGATTTTATTTTTTTCTTCGAACAACTCACTAGTAAAGATGGTAGCGTATCAGTTTAAGAAAGGCTTTTCAAAATAGCACATTTCATGTCTTTTATTAGTATTATTGTACTATTACACCTAACTATATACATGTGTAAATATGTATAAACTAACATTTCTAGCAAGATAATTTTTCAATATTTGCTTCTGTCACAAATTATAAATTTGTTAAAAACTTAGAAATTTCTAGCCAACTTCCGAGAATGAAGGCCTGTATCGTTGCTTGGATGTAGCCTCCAGAAATGTCTTACACTTCATTTACTATTTGATTGCCATGCAACCTCTTTTCATTTATCTTAAGTAAGTAATTCCATGCTTGAAAAAGGCTGAAGATCTTGAAAGCTGAAACATACTGAATCTATGTTTGTCGAAAGCATCTGAACTACTAGTATGGAGGCTATTCTTGCGAGCCTTTTTCGCATCATCTTTGCTCGGCAATTGCTTTATTTAATTGCAACATATTATCTTATCCTGGGTTGTTTTTTTATCCTACTCTCATAATTTAGAAAGTTTTTCATGTTAGTTTTATATGAAAGTAAATTGAGAAGTAAATTTTCTCAAAGTGTGGTAGATGTCGTAACGATCATCTTTTATCTTATCAAAATATTTCCATTATTAGCGTTCCAACTTAATAATTTGATTTTAATTTTCAAGGCCTGGTGATGAACAAATTTCTCAGATTGGTAAGTTCATTATGTTATATTTCGATTACATTTTTATTTGTGAGATAAGTTATAAGTATGGTGTGTGTCAAAAAATTTGAGTATTGGTCAGTAAGAGCAAAACAGTTATTGGAAGTTTAAATAGATTGATATGTGACGCACCATTTGATAACAGATGATGAACCAAAAACAGTTAAAGAAAATATTTCTTTTATATTATTATGTCAAGCCATTTTTGAAATTCTGTAAAGCAATTTTCTATTCTTCATGGCATTATTTAATGCATTTAGCAGGCTAGAAAGATCAAAATATAAAAATGCAAAAAAAGAGAATAATATTAGTCGATTTATCGTGATTGGCAAGAAATAACATATTCTTGTATTTGTACGACTTTAATTTAATTTAATATAATTTGTTTGATTGAAAAATATTACGGAGCAAATTTTTTGCGCAGAAACTGAATGTCCGGAATCACAAGGTTTTCCTGATTCAAACTGGAAATTTCGTCATATTCCTCCTACATATATACGTGATGCATTTGGGATGTGCACTATGAATTGGACATCGTGTCTCGACTGGGTGCTTTCTTTTTGATAGTTGCTTGTTTGATTGTTCGTATTTGTTATTTGAACGGATGATTAAATTGTTTTAAAAATAATAAAGAGAATTGCCATTTCGATTGTCAACCCAAATTGACAATTAAATTGATGAGATAATTGAATTTATTGATTCTTTTACTCGGCTGCATAGCAGTGAAGTAGACAAATTGTCTTTAATGAAATGGTTATATATTTAAAATTTTCAGGTAGTGAGTGATAAAAATATGAACGAGGAGATCAGCTGGAATTTGCACGGACATTCGATAGATGCCAAACTGGCAGAAAAGTATGTAAATTTGAAAATTCAATTGCAGTGGAGTGAATGGTCATCGTGCGAGCAAGGTACCACAGTAAGAACTAGAGAAGGTGATTTTTCAGTTTTTCAGTTCTTCGAACTATGAAGAAAATATCTTTTAACTTTTCAGAACTTCCAAAATTTCAGGCCACTGTTACTTAAGAAAGATAGATCCAAGTAAAGATATCGGTCAGTTAGTAGAAGGTGTATTTGCTGCTTATGATCTATTCAACTGGGTGACAAAGTTGAAGAATCATATGTCAAAAATCCCCGAATTCACCATTACTGGCATACGTCTTTATAGGTTCTTGCAATTCATTTGCAATTCATTTGTTCTTCTTAATAAATAAAATTAATTCAAATTCCAGAAACAAAAAATGAAAAATCTAGAAGTAAAATTTGACTTTTTTAAAGTTCATTGTGTTAATAAATTCCTGTTTCAGTGCGTTAGTATCAAAACTGATTCATGAAGGCGCCTTCGGTGATGACAAAACATATGACGATTGTTACAGTGTTAGTACTAACATTGCAGTCTTTTCCTCCAACTTAATAAATTAAGATTTGTATATATTGTTTATTCAGTTACTAATCTAAAACAAAGCATAAACTAGGCTGAATTTCTTTCTAGATGGCAGATATGTTCTTTAAGAAACCAAAAGCAACGAAACGCTGGATCTCTGCTATTTTCTCAGCATTTGGAATTGATAATGTTGAATCAATGTTAAAGATCAGTAATCGATTATGCCTGTATTACTATAGTAAACCGACGATACGAGTAGATAAAACACCAGCTAGCGTATTCGTTGGTACCCATCTTGTGGATACCCAAAGGTGTCCAATTCTTTAAGTGTTGGAAATTTAGGTCCTCAGAATTTATGATTTGTTTTTTTTTTTTTTTTTTTTCTAATTGAAATTACTACTGTTTTATTTTTGAAATAGGAATTGAGCTTTTTGAAACGTTCTCAATTTTTCGTTTTGGAATATCTCACATGCAAATTCTGTTTTATGCTTAGTTCTACTCCTTCATTTGGCATTTTTGTTTTCATAGCACTACTTCAGGTTGCTTAACTTTCTGTTTTCCACATTAAATCATTTCCACAGACTGTTTCTCTAATTCGTTGCTTCAGTCACCTTAACAAACGCGACTTCTTTTGACAAAGTGTATTTGAACGGAGTAAAATTATTTAAATCTAATTCATCAGCTGCATGATTATTTGCGCCTAAACTGTTACCACATTCTAACAAGCAGCTCTGCAGAACAACTGCATTTGATATATATCGAGGAAAGTTTAAAGGTAAAGAGAAAGTCCTTTTGATGTGTTATGAATGTATCTGATCTGCGAGAAAATTACAAGTAACTGATTCTAATGTGATCAAGTTCATGATTCTCGTTCACATAAACATCTTGCAATCTGTCTTTTACCACAAACACTGTGGACCATCACATGCAATTTCAGGTTAGATATCAAATCGTTGCACTACTAAAGGATGACAAATCATCTCAGCATATTAAACGTTTGAAAGGCATTATTAAAAGTAAACATACTAAGAAATCGAGAATGAAATGAAATGCACTACCAGGAATTAGTCCTTAAACTTTGAAATATGAAACTGCTGATATTGAATGGAAGCGGTATGATCCATTTGTTTTATTTTTCATATTGCTCATTATTGCTGGCTGTTTTTTTTTTTTTTTTTGTGATTTTTTAGGTTAAATTATTCTTGGAAACTTGAGAATTCTTCAATAAAGTATCTTTTGCAGGAGCACGAAAACCTTTTAATTTGAAATCTTGAATTGATGAAATAAAAGAATCTTGTAACTAAATTTTGAATTGATCAGATTTACAAATGACTTAAATCGTTGACCTTTACCCAACTAGTTGGTAAAGCTGAGACCTCAATCGGTAGCTGATTTTAAAACTTTTGGAAAGTGTAGCAAATATTGATACTTTTTGCTTAAAAGTTTCCTGATTTTTCTTAGTTTTGATCTGTTTGATTTATGAAGAAGGAAAAGAAGCAGTAAGAAGACAGTGACAGTGCAACTACCATTTATTTCTTGTTTCGTTTAAAGTTGAAGGTGAGTTGAAGATTGATTTAAAATTTAGCTTGACTTCGATAGTGATTTTATTTTGATGACCTCGTAAAAATGTCACACAGATCCATACTTCGTATTGCATAACTAACATTGTTTATTTAAATTCTTGCGCTGGGGTTTCTTTTTTTTTTATTTTTTGCGCTAGTACCACTGTTTTATAAGTGAAATCTGTGTGGCGAATCTGTCAAAAAAATGAGAAAATTCGTCGTAAACGATATCTTGTCTTAAATGTTTCTCTTCTTTACAACGAACAATCAGAAAGCTGAAAGAGCAAATCGGTAAAAACACTTTGATATGTTATTGTGGTGACAGTAGTGCTGGTAGTAATAATGGTAGTGGTGTGGTAATGAAGATGGAACGAGTAGTATAGAAGTTGCCTGAATTTTGGGGTAATGAATGACGTGCAGCCCGAAGTGACCCCGTCATCCTCTATTCCTCTTTTGTGTGTAATTCATCTCACAAACAAAACAGACAGCTTCTTTCCTTCTTTTTTTTTTTAATTTAATTGATTTACTGATTTACTGACTCTTCTACTAAAATTTCATTTTCAGAAATAAAATGTCATTTAATACAAGACACATTTATATGCTCGCTCTCCCCTCGCGACAATTATTTGTCGACCCTACTCCCTACTCACCAATTTTAACTTTTCCATATTCTTCTGTTTTGCAATCGCTCGTGGACAATAGCTGTCAGTTCAAATAATCATTCACCATTTCCTTACCGGAATATTTCAGATTATACAAGGCAAGCACTGATTCATCTTAGACTATGTAGTTGCTATTGAAGCTCCTTTCAATCTAACTAGCACTATATTATTTGGAATGGTGATAAGATCAGAAACATGAAGTTTTAGTAATCTATATATAAGAATATGAATGGAAAGAGAAGAATTGTGATTTTGTTTGAGATTGAGGAAGGATAATTATGAAATTGAAAAACAAGATTTTTAGAAAAAGACCGAATCATCAAGAAAGGCTTTGATAATGAGTAACTCTCTCTCCCTTTAGCTATTGCTATTTCATCTTCTTGAGCAAAATAAAAATGTTTGAAAATTTTATTCGTAGGATAACCTTCCATAAAAATGCTTCAAATAGAATATGTGGTTAAAATTTCAGTGCCAGCTTCGTTGGACTTTTATTTTTATAATTAAAAATTTGATGAAAACTAGTATTTGAGAACAGCACATATCAATAACTAGCAATAAGCGATTGCAGTTCAGCTCAGGGCTCATTTCTCTTCTGCAATGTATTTTGCATCAAATTTCCTCTTTCTCTTTTCAGACCTGTTTTCATTAAGTCAAAACACGGATGTATTTTTACTTGTCATTTTAAAAATAGCTCTAATCCAGAATTTATCTGAACACAATCTTAGTGATTTTATAATTGTTTATAATTTAGTGAAGGCGGTATCACAAAATGATCTGAAATTGTAAATGCATCGAGAGAAAATGATAGCATATTTATTGAATTTACTCGGGTTAATTCTACCCATTTCATTGTAAATCACATTTGATCAACTAGTGGTCGTATTCCAAAGTACTCGTTCAAGTGCAAGTGTTCCTGATCCGTTTCATTAAATGATAGTAGTCACTGATTTATTTGCTTTACGGTTTTTACACTTAAGTCTTTGTCTGCATATGACTCATTCACTTCTATCAATTTCAACAAGATTGTTCCGGACAGTTTCATAGGTTTTACTTTGGCTATCATTAATGAACAATAAATATACTTCGATGTAACTGGTTGTTCATTTAAACAAATGAACTACTTCTACATTAGGATTTATTGATCTCACATTAAATCATCCAAACTGTTTTTGCTTAATTAGAATTTGATGAAGCTTATGAGCTTAGTTTTGATTTGCCCAAGTTTGTGTGAATGAATTTGTTGGTATCCCATGTGGGAAAAATACCTAAATATTTCTTAAACATCAAGCGCTCAATTAGTGATTGTCTTGAAGAGTTGAAATGGAGATAAAAATATATAAGTAGTCTTTTAATGCAATCAGGATTTTAAAATTCGCTCACTTTTCATAAGCAGTTTGCTTTAATTCAAATTCTCTAAACTGGAATATTTTCCTAGTAATTTCTTTTTTTTCCGGTAATATTTGATATTTCAAAGTTTAGAAAGACTAATTCCTGACAGTGCATTTCATTTCATTCTCGATTTCTTAGTATGTTTACTTTTAATAATATCTTTCAAACGTTTAATATGCTGAGATGATTTGTCATCCTTTAGTAGTGCAACGATTTGATATCTAACCTGAAATTGCATGTGATGGTCCACAGTGTTTGTGGTAAAAGACAGATTGCAAGATGTTTATGTGAACGAGAATCATGAACTTGATCACATTAGAATCAGTTACTTGTAGTTTTCTCGCAGATCAGATAGATTCATACCAATAGTGATTATCCTCATCGTTACATTAACACTAAAATTTAGGATTTTTTCTAATTTACGGAAGAGGAAGAAAAATGTCATTTCTCAGCAATAATTTATGCAGCGCTTAAAGACATAATAAAATAAAAAAATTAATTGAGTTAATAGAGTCAATTGTTGACAAGTATGGGATCCGAAATGAAATGCCCTTTTCAAAGTGTGCAATGTGCAATGAACTTTATCCTTCTTTCTGGAACAGTGCGGCAAGCTTTCTGCACTTTTCTTATCGTAATGCATAAAATGAATGAGCAATGCTAATTTCATTAATTTTACTAGTGGAAAATAAAATTGATATTTTTACGATGCTAATGAAAATCTTTTTTTCAAAACTTTTTTAAAAATTTTTTCATAGTTCGAAGACTAGTAAAAATTGGACGAAGAAATTGGGTTTACCTACCGTAACCGAAAGCCTTCATAGTTCATGTCTGAAAGTTTCCTTAGTTTTTTCTCTCTCTCATTTTTGTTCCACACCGCTAACACTTGTCACCTGTTAAATAATGACACTTTAATTCCCTTTTGTCTGCCATACTTGTCTTTATAACTGGTGGACTGAATTAATTGTCACTGTTTGTGTACCTTTACCTATTGAGCTTCCTGCCTTTTACTTATTTTTTATTTACAACATTGACTGTTTCACTTTTGCCTTTTGTAGTTATGACTTGATTATTGTAATTCTTACCTAAATTAAGGACAAAAAATGTTTTGAACGCAAGCTAGTAAAAGTTCAGGATACCATTACGACCGTTTTATAGATCTGACAGAAATAGCAATGTTACTTTAAAGCAGTCTGTTAAGTCTATTTCAATTCTGAGTAAGCGACAAGAAAACGATAATATCATTGCTGTTATCAGTCTTTCTCATTATAATGATTTATACATTATGATTTCCTTTATCAACACCTTAATATTGCTAAGCAAGCTTTTAAAAATATCGCTATTGGTGATAATGATCGTATTAATGGCAATGATTAAAAACAATGAAATAATCGTTTTAAGAACGATTAGAAACGAAATGAAATGATTAAAATCGAACTGATAGAGTTGCGGAAGAGCAACTTGCCTGTACGCGGTGTAATAAAAGTGGATGTGGGTTGAATTTATCAAAAGGAGTGATGAGATTGGAAAAGAAAAGACGGGACAGGGTTTTATCGTTCCTTGGTTATTCATTTTCTTAAATAACCTGTTCCGATTTTTCAACACAGAAGAGCAATATCATTTCTCGTTCGTTTGCTGTGAACTTCACCAGTGATGTTGTCCTAATAGTTTAGTTAAAATGAAATTTTTTGAACTGCACAAGGAATGAGGGATTCACTTAAAAATGAAAAACTACCTGATAGGCAAGTTATCTAAATCAGATTAATAACGCTATTTCTGAATATTGCATTCTTAGACAAAAGTTTATAAAAGTTATGGCACAGCTAATTTGTTATTCTTATTTTTGTAAACCACATATTTTGATGAAATTTTAATGAAATTGTTTGTATTTACAAATAAATTAAACTGAACTATGAGTCTTCAAAATAAAAATAGGAATAGTTCGAATGAATAGAATGATATTTATCAGCAAACTGTAGTGTTGTAAATATCGCATATGCAATTGATTAATTTTAAGCGGTTTTATCAAACAGTGAATTATGCAGTTATTATGATCGCATTTCATGCACATAAAATATGATAATTACTTATCACTATCAACCAATCGTTTATGCTGATGTAACTACTCCGAAAGAAAACCACATAAAGGCTCATTTGCACTTATTTCATATGCTGCATTAGTGGAATAATAACTTCGGAAACTACAAAACTTCTGTAACATATCGTTCTGCTACTTCTGTGATTTATACTTCTTTATTTTTTTGCATCACCAACAAATTTTTGTTTTGTATTCATCCCCCTTTAAAAAACATTCATTTTACTTTGCCAAGTGCTACAGTCAATATCTGACAAGCCGATAGATTTTGCAGAAACAATTGCATTTCAAGTGTTTCGAATGCGAAATAAAAAAAAAGAGAGACTTTCTGTAAAAGCAAGAGTCAAGCATTGCCACTTCAGTACAAAAATTTACCAGATTTTGACGAAATTTGAGCTTGATATTTTATATATTGTAATTATTTTCAGAGAGTGTTGACAAACAAAGAACCAGATTGCAGTTGTTTTCGAATTTCCAGATTCACTTCATTCTATATTGACTACAAATAGATTCTCATTAAAATTTGAATTAATGTTTTACTGTTCAGGTCAATTGTCCGACCTTTTTCTTAAATGCTAAATACGCACATACACGATTTGGTTTTGTTCCCTTGGTAAATTACTAAAAAAGAAAAATAAGAAGAAATGAATAAAAGACATCCGCAATTACAGGAGATTAGTGGAATTTTCTTTTCATGTTCATTTTCTCTGTCTTTTTTCTCCTTCCCACATTTCAATATTAAATTAGTTTAATTTTGAGTGTCTCATCAACAGTTTAGGAAATGACAATTGCGCTGAATGTTCCTATTTATTCCACAGCAGTATTTCACATTCTTATTTTTTCATTTTCTATTCTCTTTCAACATTATTAGTTTATAAAATAAACAAATAACAAAGTTCTTTTCAATACGGATTGTATTTGTGCTAAGTATGCATAAGTTAACTATTTACGTCGAATGTGTCTTCCGCCTGCAATAAATAACATTATATTTGCTAATGGACATTATTGCCGAAAGTCAAATTGAAAAGCGAATAAAGAATAGTCATCGTAAAAAAAGAAATCTGATATCCAAAGATATTTTGGAGAAATTAGTTTTTCATTTTATTTGGACAAAATTTTTTAAATAAAATTTTGATCGTGTTTGCACTACAGTTTGGTTTTTGGAGATTTAAGCTTTAGAAGGGAAACCATTTCGTAATTCTGATATTGCAATTAATAAATAATAATTTGCGATTAAGAGTTTTATCGTTAGCAGTTTTTCCTCCTAAAAACAATTATTTCTTCATTTCTTGCATAATTTCAGTATTTGAACTGTCCTTACTGCTTTATGAACTGAAAAAATTAACAACTTACTTACTCCAAGTTCAAGACTTTTGGAAGCCAGAACCTTTGGCAAAAAGATACTAAAGGTTTTCTTGTGTTTCAAAAAGTTTACGTATTGATTGAAGCAATATTAGGAACAGTGAGTGTCAAATGAAACACTGTGATATGCTTCTGTTTGTCACTATTCGAATCTAAGTGCTTTGACTGATTTTTGTTGCTGCCATCTCTTTCCTTCATCTTTGCAAGTGATTACACTTAAAAATTTTCAAGCACATTACAACTTAGTTTTATTCCCAATTTTTATCCGTTTCATTAACGACTTTCCTTGGATAAAGCAACTTGTCTCGAATACCTAATCCACTTATTTATTATTCTTATTATAATCAGTATGTCTCATTCCAAAAAATTTTTCAGCAGTAATTGTAGTGTGAAAGTTCTCAAAAATTAAATTTGGATATATTATGACCCAGAAAAATTTCCGAAATTTCATAAATTATTTTACTCACTTTATACAATTTATTAGTTTTAATTGCTTTCAGTTTATGAATTAACACTTATAAGACTGTTTCATTATCAGTTAACCTATTTGTTTGTTCCTTATCGATTTTCTACGAAGAAAAACAATTTGACTTGCAATGTTTTCAAATTTTCAATTAGCGCGACATGGAAACCTTTGTTACAATCATCGAACATTGCACACATTGTGATTGCTATGTTTCATAAAAAATGTGCAATCATAGTTCCTTTGGCTCTAATGATATTTGTTCCATTTCTGAAAATATTTTCTAATAAATACTTCGAAAATTTATGTTTAAATTCTTTCCTTGTTTTTTCCATTCCTTTACCATATCAGTTAAACTTCACTTTTGCCTCAACATTAAATTCATCCTTTCTCTTGTTATAAATTTCCCATCCAGGTTTAAAAATTTTGTTGAATCATTGAACTGATCCTTAATACACAAATATCTGCAGGATTGGAAAGTGTCAAAAGTTGGAAAAGTAGCAAACTGGAGAACGTAGACCTCAACGATCAGCATGGCCTAATTGCGATGGCCGAGGCTAATAACAAAGTTGCTGTAAGCTTAATTAAAAATTATAAGTATTGTCGTTTAATTTATGATAAGTTCAGTTCAATTATTTATTCATGCTTTTGGTTAACAATAGCTGTTAACAGCAATCTCTCATAATAACTTCCCAAAGTTTCTTCCTTTAAGTATTATCCAAAATTATTAATTAAACATAAATTACTAATCATAAATTGATCGCCTAATATTTTCGCTTTCGCTTAACCTTTTCTAGTAAAAGATTGCTCATATTTAGACGCAGTTGAACAGAGCATTTCTACAATACTTGATTTTTCATGATAAAAATTGGTTTCTAACGGGAAAATTCCGCCTATTTTATTGATTATCTAAACTTTTAAATTTTGTGTCTTACTGTTTCTTCCTAAATTGGCAATATATTTGTAGGATAAAAATACTAAACAAACGAAGTACAAGATTTGAGGGAAAATGGTGAAGGAAAAAAAGTGTTATCGTTGAATTTGTTTTTATATTGCATCTACTTCATATATGTTAAATAAGCATGATACTGTTGATCATATACAATTAAGTTCGGTGTTACATTATCAGCAAGAGTGAGAAGTTTTGTTTTTGAGAACTGAAAAAAATAGTTCAATTCTTTGTCGAAATGGAAAATTTAGGAATTTCTTGAAGGAAAATCATAGCATTCAGGATTCAAATCCGGCAGTGCCGATGGAAAAGAAAGGACCGGTGACAAAGGAGAATGTATCGAAGAATGTTACCTGTACAACGACTACAGCATACTTTTTGTTTATGATTGCAGTTGTTGCAGTAGTGATGTCATCATTTATAACTTATTGGGTAACAAAAGAAGCATATGATCGATCGCTTGAAATAAGGCCTTCCGCTGATGCCCAACAAGTAATGTGAGTACTGTTAAATTTCTTATCGAAATACAGAATTAAAACATAAGTGGTAAGTAATTAGAATTTTATTTTTCCAAATTAGCACAGTCGATATAGAATTAATCCTATTCTATTTCTGTTTATACGTTACTTGCTTTAGGTATTTTTATCATAGAAAAAGAACACTTGGGCATTTCTAACAGCGCTAAGTCTACCTGCTGAAGAAAATTATTTATTAACAACATGGTCATATTTAGCGCAAATGTGTCAGTGGATGAGTCGCCAATAGAAGAAATGTTTAGTGGCCCAACTGCAGCTGAATTACGCATACCGAAAGATATTGTGCCTATATGGTTGGTCTGTATTTTTCAAATTAAATTATATGCTAGGAAAAGCATAATAAACTCATACTGAGCCCAACTACAATGATAGTCAGGACCGGATGAGAGACTAACAAGCTGAAGTTTTATCAGAAAGCGTTTCT